CCGCCCCAAGAATCACGATTACTGTAACAAAGATCTCACTATTGCTGTCCAGCACACATCTATGTTGTTATAGCAAGGATATTGAACAATATTTCCTATTTGTCTTATTTTGACTATACCTCTTTCTAGTTTTAGGTTTAGTTTTAGTTCAATAAAAATATACAACAACCCAATGCTGAATAACAATTAAAACTAGAACTAACAGTAAACCCAGAACTAGAGAGTTTCAGGTTTAGTAGTGTTTTTTCTAGTGATAGTGCTAGTGCAATACCAGACCTGTTACTTCTAGTTTTACACTAGTACTATCACTAGAACTAATACAAGACCTGGAACTAGAATCATTCGGGTTTAGCCGCACGTCTCTCAAGACGGCTAAACCCAAATGATTCTCGTTCTAGGTCTTGTGTTAGTTCAAGTGATGGTGCTAGTGCAATACTATAACTAATACCAGACCTAGAACTAGAAACATTTGGATTTAGCCGCACGTCTCTCAAGACGGCTAAACCCGAATGATTCTAGTTCTAGGTCTTGTGTTAATTCTAGATTTAGTTCAATGAAAAATATGCAACAATCTAATGCTGAATAACAATTAAAACTAGAACTAACACCATCTACATTTTCTGCAAATAGCAAGTACTATCCTTCTGTCAGTACTATTTAGCCTTTTTTCCCATCACTCTGAAAATATTTTGTCCGTTATATCCGAAATTCGTTCTAACGAAATCCGTTATACCGAAATTTTGCTGTATTTTGAAATTTGAAGGGTGAATATATGATCGAGACTGGATAGGGGTGTGAACATGTTCGATCGTAGTCAATGTTTTGAACGAAATGGGGGTCAATTACTCGTATATAGCCCGGGGCGTCGAGAAATCTGTTATTCCGGCAGCATGTGTTGCTCTCTACATCGTTTATCATCCGCACATGCGATGATGGCCGAGTTTAACATCTTATTGAAGATGTTCATTCGTCCGTACACTGAGGGGAAATCGACTCGGATCTTTCTCTTTGCAAAGGGGGTGTCTAAGTTATTTTAATTAAACACACTAAATCACCAAGATTAAAAACTTTTTTTTTGAAATTTTAAAATGATGTCAGGTTTAAATCGATTTGAAAGTTAGTATGGAGTCATTTCTGCCGAGATAAAACGCGCATAAAACCGGCCTTAATATATCTCTCTCTGCACGGTGGAATTCGCGTCCAGTCACGAGCCTTGATAATATTGTAATTACGGCTTATCGTATTTCCAAGGAAAAATCATTACCCGCCGTACTTACTAGGAAGGTTTATAAACGAGTTTGAAGAAAATGTAAACGATTTTTCGAGTAAAATTTATTTTTGTAATCGATCAAGATGATGTAGAGTTCACACGCATACAATCAGATAATTCGTTAAGTAACCAGTGTTCGTTTTGAGGGAAATTGTCGCAGGATTGAGTCTTGGGTTAATCCTAGGGGTGCACGCGAGCCATTGTCCTGTCGGAGAATCAATAAGCGGCAGCGTTATCCTTTCAATTAACAAAGCGGAAGGGTCGCAGGACAGAAACCCCTTCCTTCCTGCAATACTGTGGCCAGGATGTTGGCCCAGTAAATCACTGTTGGGTCGCCGCGCTGATCTTATCCATCGCACCGACTCCTTGCGTGCGATGGCCACATCGCATGTCCGGCGACTTCTTGAGCTTTTCTCACCCCCACTTCGGACCTTTCAATATTAACAATTGTCCTTTTTACGCCTTCCTTAACCCAAACGAAAGAAATCAAACGAAACAATACGTAATATAAATTGTTTTCTGTTTTTCTTTTCTTTTTTCGATTTTTTTTAATCAAACTCGAACAATTCTATCGCAACCGCTTAGAAATTTATGGTCGGCGCAGGTACCCAGTTAACAATCTTGAATGTTTTCCAAACTGTCCATTGTACTTCATGTTCTTATCTCTTCGTAAATAAAAGGAATGGACAATTCGTTTTTTTTTGTTGCCTTAACGTTTGTTATTCGCTTTGAAACAAAACGAAACAATCGGTTTAAAATTAGCAGGTATCAAATCGCGTCAAGTTTTCCTTTTTTTACTGCGTCTTAAAACGTCACAATGTCGTAAAGTTTGCATGTTTAGAAATAACTCCATATTACAATAGATCGTATGTTGAACAAACGAGTCAAAAGATTCTTTTCGATTTTCTTAGATTTACTTTAATTTTCTTGTATGGAATTAAAAATCCTTTAAAATGACACCAAACTCGATGGGGTTATCTCAAAAAATAACCGAGATAACTCGAGATATAACAAAAAAACAATCGACGATCACTTGTTATAAAAATAATCGTATCTTTTGAATCATTTTTAATATAGATAAAGAATATCAAGATAAATCATTGAAATTACTTTTTTTTAACTTAACCTCAAATTTAAATATCGTCTAATGTAAATTTTGTTGATTTTCCCTTAATGAAAATGAAAAATCCTTTAAAATGATACCAAACTCGATGCGGTTATCTCAAAAAACAACCGAGATAACTCAAGTTATAACAAAGAAACAATCGACGATCACTTGTTATAAAAGTTATTGTATCTCGGCCATTTTTTAAGATAAATATGGAGTGTTTGGACTCATTTTGAATGATTTTTAATACAGATAAAGAATATCAAGATAAATCATTGAAAAAAAAATTTTTTCTTTCTAATCTCAAAATTAAACATCATCAAATACAAGTTTTATTGATCTTATTTGAAAGAGGGCGAAAAATCCGTTATAATGATACCCAACTCGAGGGGGTTATATAAAAAAATAACAGAGGTATCTTGAAATATAACAAAAAAAACAAGTGACGATCCTTTGTTACAAAAGTAATCGTATCTCAGTGATTTTTAAAGATAACCCTACCGAGTTTGTTGTCATTTTAAAGGATTTTCCGTACCCTTTAAGATAAAATCAATAAAATTTATATTCGATGATATTTAATTTTGAGGTTAAGTTGCGGTTTTTGTTAAAAGATTAGGCTGATGTTGGTACGATTGTGATGCGTTTATCGGAAGCGATTATTTTTCATAAGAAAAAGTGATAGAAAATCTATGAAACAAAATGGTGATCCAAAAAGCTTGGTATTTGATGTAACCTAACGCCATTGATTAAGTATTATATAAAATAAAGTGGTCGTCTTTGAAGCTTATAATTTGGTAGAACCTAACTTCAAACCTTCCTTTATAACCTCAAAAAGTTTAATTTCTTAATTCCTAAGTATTTTGGAGAAAACAAAATTTTTGTTTAATGGCAATTATAAGACGTGTCAAATCGGCGATTTTTAAATATTTATATAAAAAGATTGGTTCACTCTGGAAACTTATAATTTGGTATAACATAACCTCAAACGTATCTTTATAACCTCAAAAAGTTTCATTTCTTAATACCCAACCGTTTTGGAGAAAACAACGATGCGGATACCCCAGTGTTATCAGTTAGGGCAAAACTACACTGAGGTAAAAATCAAGCCTAATGTGGTTCCCCAAATGAACATAATCGTGGAAGGGAAGGTGGCCAAAAACATGGAGATGATCAGATACCTTAACAAAGATATGATCAACATCTTGCATCTTATAACGTAAAATGTCAGAAAATTAAAGGTTGGTAATAAAAAGCTTGTAGCATACGGTATTACTTCGATAGTGCAGAATCAGCTGGAAACAGAGATATAGACACAACTATAAAGATGGTGCAAAAAAGATATTTATGGCGGAACCTATAGGTACTAGAAGAGAGGAAGACGTAAATTACGGTGGAGAGATGGTGTGATAGAAGACGTCAAGAGGATGGGTACACGAAACTGGACAAAACAAGCATCTAATGGATGTACCAAGCTTGTTGGTATCGCCACTATCTCAATATTGCTTCCACTCTCTTCTTTTTGCTTCCGCATTTCATTGTAAGATATTTTGGCAAAAAAACAACGATCCATAACCAAGATGAAAGAGAGCCAAGATGACCCATATATCCATATTGATGATATTGATAGTCTTTCAATGATAAGTCCATTGTGTTTGGAATCGAATTGATTAAATTCGTCGTTTCTAATCAAAAGCGCTAATAAAAACAAAAACGAAATAAAAAAAGATCAACATAAAATGCGATTAGCGCGTGTCTCGTGTTAAAATGCAAGTATCTCCACGAACGGACGTCAATTCTAAGAAGAAGTTGCGTGCCCGTGTATTTTGAGGCTCAGTTGGCGAAGAGCTTTTACGAGGACGTGGCGTGAAATCAATTGAGAAACGGCCCTATCTGCGGCGACTACAACGACGATAGCAACGGCAGCGACGTTTTCGTCGGAAAAACACTAAACCTGATCTAAATTTAACCCCGGGCTCATTTCGTTTTGAATGGAAAATGACGAAACCTTCGCCCTCTTAATTGAAAACCGCTTTAAAATTACTCACTACTCCGACACGTTTTAAGTCACGTGTTTGACTTAACCCCCTCGTTTATATATTTTTTTTCGAAATCACCCCCCGTGACCCGAAATTGTCTTCTAATGTAGTATTTGTAACGGTGGGGATTTTGGTTTATCCGTTTTATCCACTTTTCATGTTTTGTTTCCCCCTGAATCTTTTCACGTCAACGGGAACATATTGGTATGCTGAGAATATAGGGAGGATAGTTCTTATAGAAACGGCATTAAGGTGCTAATCAACGTTAATGGTCGAATTTAACGACTTCCTCCCGTCCTCCCCGTAACTTATTATCGAACGTCGTCGTCGAATTCTGATAAGCGTTTTAAGCGTATGTTCGGGGTTTTATTGTTTTCTCTTCGTAATTGCCTTTTCGTGAGTGCTTTTGTAATTGGTAGATCACGTATATCGTGATTAATTTCTAATAACTCTATCTTACCGATTAATTGTCGATCATGTATTAAGAATTTTTGTGCGAGAAAAAAAATCGTGTAAAACGGGCTTGATTGAAAAAATTTCTGCGGGATGCGAAAGTATCTTAGTTTAGGAAAAATGATCGACTTACCTTGTGTTTGTAACTTCCTCGCAATCGACTTGTAGCGCATTTCGTAATTGTCGTCTTCTCGTTCGTTTTTTTCGTTTGATACTGGTCGTCTGGAACTTCCGTCACTGGCATGTCCGCTCTGATCGCACTACGACGCGTTTCGTACGCTTGTCGCGAGGAATCGTCGCGGCGCGTCCTCGTGAGCGTCGCGGGCGTCGTCGTCGTCTCTCACCTCGCGCGCGCCTCACCGCGAGCCAATGGCGACGCTGAGGCCGCTGTCTCTTCAATTGTCAGTGCCGGGACGAGCCGTTGTTTTTTGGAGTACGCCTCGCGGCCGACGTCGTCTCCACGGAGACGCGCACCAGGCCGCGCAGACTCCGCCCTCCCCCCCAATAATCCCCAACCTCTGATAACCGCTGTCGTCGTTTTCCCCCCGGGTCGCTCTTCCGATCCCGGTCGATACCGATCCCCCCTTTTATTCTTTTTTAGTTTTAAGGGGAACGGACGAACGGAGATCCAACCTTTTTTGTGTGTATTCCCCCCATTTCTTAGCCCACTAAACAGATATAATTAATCAATTATTATTAATAAACAACTTTTTATTTCATTTTTTTTTATTTGATTTTATTTTTCTCCTCCATAATAATTCAACCAATACTTTCTCGTACGTGTCGTTCGGGTTTGTTGAAAATTTACGACCGCAATAGAGGGTGCGCCATCTGCAGTGTGGTCATAAACCAAACCAAAAGGCGGACGTTGCAAAACCGCCGCCACCTGGCGGTGGGCTTGTAACCAAGTTTTTATATTTCTCATCCATTACGAAGAACCATACAAAAATCAGATCACAAAAAATAAAAGTACCTTACTTCGTAACCACCCCGTGAACGCGAATAGATTTTCCATCCTTCATCCCCCCGTTCCCTTCGTCATTCTCGATCCCGGTTAAACGCATTTAGGTAGGGCGGAAGGAAATATCTGGTAAGTGGATAAGTGGTCGAGACGACGCGATGTTTCGCGGGGGGATTCATGCTAGGGAGGTTTCCGAGGGGCGAGAGGGGAAAAGTGAAAAAGGAAGAGGGGGATGAGATGTGTGCGGGAACGTATTTTTAACGTCGTGTTTTATGATGTCGAGATTTGGGGAGTTTTTATGAGTCCGAAGGGTGGTCCGAATCGGGAAAGGTTTAGATGGGGCGGATCGAAAAATGTCTCGGTCAAAAATGAAATATTATACCTATAGAAGAAATAGTTTTATTTAATCCTCCAAGTTCGGTGAGATTTGTCCTCTTTTATTTCAGTTCTTTCTAACATTCACAAAATTCCAAAAAATTGTAAAGATTTTGCTTAATTAAACCAAGGTCGCTTAAGGCTTTTACTATATTCATTTTAAAAGTTTGCCTCACCGGAGCTATTCGGAGTAAATTCTAAAGCTAATGTATTTGAGTGGGGAAAAATGACGCACAGCAGGGTTTCAAGCTCTATTATAAAATAAACGCGATGTAAATCGCTTGGAGCTGTTCAAAATAACTTTAGAATGTAAAACATATAGAAAAACCTCCGAGATTGCTTGCGGCCGAGGCACAAATTGACATTCATTGCGACATCGTTGGTTAAACTGAGAGCGGAAAAACTATAACTTACACTGATTAAGCCGAGGCGTAATATGATATTCATTGTGACATCTTTGGCTAAACTTAAAGCGAAGAATCTATGACTTAGATTGATTAAGCCGAGACAAAATATGATATTAATTGCGACGCCTTGGCTAAACTTAGAACGGAAAAACCATAACTTACACTGACTAAGCCGAAGCACAATATGTAATTCATTGTGGCATCTTTGGCTAAAGTTAAAGCGAAGAATCTATGACTTAGATTGATTAAGCCGAGGTCGCTTGCGGCCGAGGCACAATATGGTATTACTGACAACGCTTTGGATAAACTTTGAGCAAAGAATCTATGATATCAACTGATTAAGCCGAGCTCGCTTGCGGCCGAGGCACGATATGGTATCACTGACAGCGCTTTGGAAAACTTTGAGTGGAGAATCTATAACTTCAGTTCATTAAGCCGAGGTCGCCTGTAGCCGCCGAGGCACAATATGATATTCATTGCATCGTGTGGCTAAACTTAGTGTGAAAAATCTATGATATTGACTGATTAAGCCGAGACGTAATATCTAGAGACTACAGATTCTCTGCCCTAAGTTCAGCAAAGGTGCTGCAATTAATACTATGCTGCGCCTCGGCCACAAATGACCCTGGCATAATTACTGGAAGGATACTATAAAATAGTATATACAAAATAGTGGGATAGGAACAGGGACATACAGAGGCAAGAGAGAAGGACACAGATACGGAAAGGAAAGTATAATGAAAGGTATGGAGAGATGGAACGAGAAAAGGGGAAATAAGTATTGGGTGGATGAGGACGAACGACGGTGTAGGTTTTGCAGAGAGGAAGTCGTGGGACCACATGTTGAAGGGATGCAGCGAGTTGAGGGAGGACCCGATGGATTGGAGGCAGATTTTGGGTATGGAGGTTGGTTTGGTTGTATGTATTGTATTATTGGTATAAAATTGCAAACGTTGTTACTAGAAGTTATAGATCCTCCACCCTAAGTTAAATTGACTTCGTCTATATGTTAATTTAATATTAATTGCAGAGCCTCATCTGGAAGCCTCGGCTTAATTAGCCGATACCAAAGATTTCTCGCCTTTAATCTAGCCAACACTTGAAGTCAAACATTCTCCTTCCTAAGTTTAACTGAGGTCGCATAAGGCCAAAATGTGATTGTAAAGTCTTGATCACAAGCGAGTCCTGCTTAATCAATCGCTCTCATGATTATCCGCCCTAAGTTTAGCCGAAACGCTACAATGTGTTTATCTGCGTTAGATGATCTTAAAAATCTGACATCTAAGCTTTAATTAACATGATTAATATTACCAGTTGATGATCCCGCTGAGAAACTGATTGAACCAGTACTTTCCAGCTGCTTTCAGCAAAAATAATTCGCGAAGTGTTTCAAAATGAATCTCTCCGATTCTAACCTGATATTATAATAATAGAAGTTGAGCTTTTAGGAAAGACTAGAGAATTTTTACAAAAAAACTAAGCACAATAATTGTGCTTCGTTATTGTCATTGACAGATTTTATTACTAAGTCTCACCAATCTAAACTTGTCCCTAATTAGCAATCAGGTTCTCCAGAAATAGCTATATATACTCTCTAGGATGTATGAACACAATTTCATCTGGTTCAACCATCGTTGCTATGGGCGGAAGAAATCTGGCGACGTTCATATCAAGCCAAATCTAGGTCACGCAAACTGCATCTCGGCTAATCACAAAACATAGAATATACACATCCGTAGAGGTTAGGTTTTGTTTCCTTTCATCAACGCTTGTTATCGACTAGTTCTCACCTCGTCGTCTCAATAAAACTATTACATACCCCTAAGAGTCCAATCACATCCCAAGATTACTTCATCTTCTTCTAAAATTAGGATCCCTAACGTTTTTGCAGAAATGTATGATTCCATCTGATTAAGCTAAAAGGCATCAAAATTGGAGCAGCGATGCCTAACTTGAAAAGTTATGGAAATCAATTAGTCTATAGCAGTGCAACAAGCATTTTTATTTTATTAGATTCAAGAATTTTGAGCTCTTTGAGGTTCAAGTTGCTTAAAGAATGCAGTGATGCAGAGCACTTAATAACAAGATTGTCCAATGTTCTTAATCATAAATTTCCTGAGATTTCCAACTTTCGTACATAATAACTAATTTTCTAACTTGTGGTTTTGCCTTACTTAATTCATATATTCTTTATCCATAACGGACATGATTAGGCCTTCTAGAAAATCATATTGATAAGTAAAATCTAGGCTTGAACCACAACAATTAGACTATTTATAACGCGTTTTCTTGCCATACTTTATTGATTTGATTGCTCATATTGCGACTTATACTTATTACACATCTTGTACATATCAGGTTGTCAAAATTAAGTTTTAATGCGCACATACATTGAATTTCACGTAAGATGCAAACACTACACCTAAAACTAGAAACATACCGTTTAGCGCTAGTGTAAAACTAGAACTAACACTAGACCTAGAACTAGAAACATTCGGGTTTAGCCGTAGAAGATTAGAACTATGGTTACAGCATTCATATATTGCTAGTTATATGCATTAATTCTCTTGAATCATGAAGTATTTGGTTCAATTATGGAAAAAAATCTTATGTCAAAAAACCTTATGTCATACGAATTTATTTAAGTTGGCAGTATTGATTAAACTGTCATTATAAAAACTTTATAGGTTAAATATGAGAATTTTACGTCAAAATCGTGCATTTAGGTTAAGTTTCGAGCATTTTTATATCAATGCTACCAACTTAATTCTATGTAAGATTAAAAATTAAAAATTTTTGTTAACAATCCAAAGAAATATTTGGATGTAAAAGCACGCCGCGCCATTTTCTTGTATTTGTAGGCGTGGCAGATTCCCCGCTATCTGTGCTCATCTGGTAACAGCACGCGACAGGGAAAGGCTACCGGTTATCTGTATAAACCAATAGGAAACAAGCGACGACGCAATACTTGGTGCGCATCTTTCAGGATGCGCTGTATACGGGGCGAATCCCCACTGACACAACCATTGGAAGGAGATAACATAACCCCCCACGCAAACATTCCCACATTCTTATTTACTTGTTAGCCAAAAAATTTTGACGCATCTAAATATATTGTATTCTAAGTGTAGTGTTATTTAGAAGTTGTACAGTTTGTTGGCGCTGGCGTCGTTGTCAAGAGAGATCGTTATTCTCTCTTGTTTTCGATCGTCGCTCGTCTCTCGGGTTGCCCGGGCAACAACACGCGGACGGTTTCAGTGACGGTGACGTCACGCGCATCGCTGGCAACATCGATTTCAGTTTTTAGGCCGGGCATCTCCTTACACATCTTTGCTTCCCGACTTTGGCCACGGTTCGTTAAACGTCCCGTCGGGGGGTCCCCGCGCCCTCTCTTACCCGTCACACGACTCCCGTGCTGCGCGGGGGATAGCAATTTGGACCCCCCATCTCCCCACCAATCCCCATCAACCCGTCCCGTCCGTTTCTATTCTGGTGTGTGTTCTCCTCGTCCTCGTCGTTTTCTTTATGCCGGCCGAGAGTTGGTTAATGATTTTTCACGTACCTACTCGTCCTTATCGATGTCAAGTGTCACGATATGGGGCGTGGACTGCGGTCATCAGTCATAACTCGCCGCTATCTGACCCCTTGTCGTGACCGCGTAACCCCCCTCGCACCCCTAACGGGGAGGTGAGTTTTCTTTTTTCCCCCCGGGTTCGAGGAAATCTGTGGGTAGTCTTTGTTTGACCACTTTTGTCGTTGTCACCGATTAGACGTGATTTTCGAAAAAAAATTTCAATATTTCTCCATACCATGTAGGTTAATAGCCAAGGGCCCCCGAAATAGCTCTAGATCCCGTTTCGCTCCGACAATTCCCGTCGTTACGCCTTGGTTCGACGACTTCGCGAGCGGCACGTTTCAAATTTACGGTCGTCGTCGAAACCGACGCTTCCATAACACGTCCGAAGCTTTGTCTTCGGATCCCCCATTGTTCTCGGGCAGAAAACCGAGCTGCGCCATTCTCGATTTTTTTCCATCTTCTTACAAGTTTCTTATTACCTATATGTTTCTTAAATAAAAAAGATTTAAACGGATTTGTTAAGATTTACGGTGACTTTGCAATTGTATTCGGCGAACGTGATAAGAAAATGTGACAGTTTGTCTTCCGGGGTCGAAAACAAACGGGGACAATTGGCAAAAAGCCGCGAATACGACGACGACGAGGTTGGTAGCGCCGTGTTATTTATAAGAGCCGGGAAACGAGTTTCCGGTCGCGATTAACCGACCGTCGACGACGCCAACAACGTCGACGCCTTTGTAGAGAATTTTCTGTACATGGGGAAAATTAATGGTTTTAATAAAAAAAAAATCCCCCAAATACATCTTTTAATTAATATTATTGTATATCGTTGTGTCCATTTTCACCATGTAATGATAAGTATTAAAAGAGTCACAATATACTATGATGACATAACCTTATTTTTTCGTCTAAACCGGTTGTGGGCCCTGTCCTGCCTCAGTAGATAGAACCCTACAAACCTACAAAATCTTTTATAGGTATATCTTGCAGTAAATTAAACAGAATAAACTAAATGAATAGAAAGCTTACGTCAGGGTAAAATCGTAAAACATACATTGAGAACGATATAAACTTTAACGAAAAACTCTGCGATAACCACATTGAAGAATTGGAATAATTGTTATAAACAGGTTATGTAATTGAGGTTAGGAGTGCTCATTAGGTGGGTAAAGTAGAACACTACATGAAATCTAAAAATCTAAAATCGACAATTAATCCGACTTAAAAACTAAAATCATGTATTATAAATTATAAAAGCGATAAACGATTATTGTATATTCTGCCTCGAAAACAAAACATAACAAATCAGTCAACATAATAATAATGGCAACTTAACAACAGCTAGTTTCTTGTAGGGACATTTGGGACAAAATTGAGCCCCCTCCAAACTCAATTTTCTCGTCCATTTGCACAATTTTAAAGGTAGAAAACTACATGAAACCTAACTTCGACAATTGATCCGACATAAAAACTAAAATCAAATTGTGTGTCGATTTTAGATTTTTAGTTTTCATGTAGTGTTCTACTTTACCCACCTAATGAACACTCCTAACCTCAATTACATAACCTGTTTTCAACAATTTTTTCGCCAATTCTGCAATGTGGTTATCGCTGAGTTTTTCGTTAAAGTTTATATCGTTCTCAATGTGTTTTACGATTCTAACCTGACGTAAGTTCTTTTTTTATTCATTTAGTTTAGTTTATTCTGTTTAATTTACTGCAACATATACCTATAAAAGATTTTGTACGTTTGTTTGTGACCCTCTTAATACTTTTAATTAATAGATGGCTCTCTTCGTTTCAACCAATCACAACAAAGAATAATCATTACGTCATCATCAAACAAATATTCTTTTAAAAGCGAAACGATTCTAAATTCTAAAAGTGTATTAGAGATAATCGCGTGTGGCGACGACGACGACGGTCATTAAAAGAAGGAAAGGTAGCGAAAAAAAATAAATAACAGGGACAGTCGGTATTGTCATGCAACAGCGCCCCCTCTCAAACCGCAACGACCACTCTGCGGTAATGGGCGTTATGTAAATCGCCGGTGTAGCGATTAAAAATCACGGCACTATGGAAAAATGATACACGTCAAGTCGCCGCCGCCGACCAACGCCCCCTCTCGACTTTTTTATCTTGATCTTTAACCGTCCCCACATTTTCAAAGAACCCCGCCAAGTTAATCTATCTGCTCGATAGGACTAAAGTGAGCAACGAATGTAATCATCTAAATTTAGTGTTTAATGAACTTAATTTATGCAGAAAAGGTATTCAAATCAATGTTCAAAAAGGAGTTTCAAAAAAATTATCCTTTTACAACATGTAGTGCAAATCGTAGTTACGAATAGCCACAGACTGAAAACTGCAAATAATAGCTGTGGGAAACGCATTATCGCTACAAATTGATGTCGAAGTTTGCAGAATGTATCCTGAACTGCATACTGAATGTTAATTATAGACTAATAAGTGTTTGGTCACTCATACAAATGTCGACATCTCCTGTCAAAATGTCCATCACGCGCTCCATCGTGTTATTCTGAATTTGGAAGTTGAGTGGTGATTGTCACAATATTCCCTGAGTGTGCAGACTCACAAAACTTTGAGATAGAGCCTGGCGAGGTCAAAAAAAATTTCTGCAACTAGAGAAATCAAGGGTAAAAATAGACGTCCAGATACCTACAGTGCAGGCTCTGTCTAATCTATCTTGTTTTCCATAAGTAGTATCAAGTCTTCTGTCAGTAGTGTCTATTCATCTTCCTGCAGTACATAGGCTTCTACCAACAGTATCTAAAGTTCCATTAATAACACTAATTAACAGTGTCTAATCTTCCATAAGTCGTACAAAATCTTTTAGAAGTAGTATCTAATCTTCTTCATTCAGTATCTAGTCTTCTGGAAGCAATAGGTAGGCTTCTGCAAGTAATATCTCGTCCTCTGTTAGCAGTATCTAGTATTCCATTAATATAGCTATTTATTAACAGTGTCTAATCTTAAAATAAGTTGTACAAAATCTTCTCGTAGTGGTACCTAGTCTTCTACATTCAATATCTAGTCTTCGGGAAGCAATATCTAATCTTCTGCAAGCAATAGGTAGACTTCTGCAGCTAATATCTAGTCCTCTGTTAGCAATATGTAGTGTTCCATTACTATCACCCTCTATTAATAGTGTCTAATCTTCCATAAGTTGTACAAAATCTTCTGGTAGTGGTACCTAGTCTTCTACATTCAATATCTAGTCTTAGGGAAGCAATATCTAATCTTCTGCAAGCAATAGGTAGACTTCTGCAGCTAATATCTATTCCTCTGTTAGCAATATCTAGTGTTCTATTAATATCACCCTCTGTTAACAGTTTCTAAACTTCCATAAGTTGCACAAAATCTTCTGGTAGTGGTATCTAGTCTCCTACATTCATTATTTAACTTCAAATATTGTTTTCTCAAAAACTAAAAGTTTTTTTTCAAAACAGGTTGGTTCATTTAATGTAACATATTTTAGAAGGCATATAACCAAATATCAAAAAACAAAATCAAAAACGAAAAAAATGTTTTAATTTACCATAAAATGTCTCTAAAATAAAAGAACAGATGTTGAGTTTCTTTTGAAAATCCCCTATAATATCCTGATTTATTTGAAAATTCGTTTCGGTACTTAAAAAAATTGAAAGTTGAAAAAGGGAGAAGAAAGAAATTGTTGTGAGCTCTAAAAAAAGGAGGATGAATCGAAAACCACAAATTTAATTAATCACATCTTATTCGAGCTCACGTCTAGATGATACTAAATTGATGTAATTGGTGACGGTTTGTTTGTTTTTCTGCTATTATAGCGGGGAGTGTTGTTTCTTTTTCCCCTTTTTCTCTTCATCTCTATCGTTTCCTTCACCATTCTTAATGGCCTACATAATTCATTGATCACGTTTTAATTTGTTGGCGAACGTCGCCGCTAGTGTCCTAAAAGTGGGCGTTTGTGTGCCCACGCAATTAACTTAATAACACGTCGCGGCGCGTCGATCGTCCTTATTGGATCAATTCATCAAAAGGTAATACACAGGGAGGTAATTTCTATATGGTTGAGTTAAAAAAAAATAATAAAATACGTCCCTGTTTAGCATAAAGCGCGCACATTATGCATGTGACCCGGTTATTCAAGCGAAATGACACGCTCAGATCGTATAACCGGTGAAATATTTTCTGTAATTTTGTGTTCGTGTCGCCCTTTTTCCACGAGATCAATCTCCCTTTTTCAAGAAGCAGGCAACATTTAATATTTACACGCAATAGTTTATGCAAAAAGAAAATCTAAAAGAAATTGTGTTATATTCACTAAAAATTTGACACAAACCACAAAAATTGACGTTGACTCATTAGAAGTGTCAAAAATAAGTATTACCAACTCATTAAAATTAACCTAAAAAAACGAAATATTCTAACCTAAAAAAAAAAATTAAATCAAAAAAAAATCTTAACAAATCATCAAATATCGTGCAAAACTGTAATTAACAAAACCCGTTGTAACGTCGAAAAGACACTATACTAGTCCCCCTTTCGCACGTCGACGAGGAATAGAGGGGGACGCTAATTACTTCGAGGCCCCATTTCTCCTCGAGATTCGCAGCGGGCGTCGATTCGAATTTCCCGCGTCGGAAGTGCGTGTCGCGACGGTCGGAGGACGCCGCTAATCTTCCGGTCGTCGAGGACGTCGCGTGTCCCCTCGTAATCTAACCGCATATCTTCGTCCCCATTTAGAAGTCCCTTTCTTGACCGACGTTATTGTTATTAAAATAATAGCCTCTGCGACTTTGGCGCTCGTTTAAATGCAAATCGATTGTGAAATTGCCACCTCGAGGACCGTTTTTGTCGTTATATCGTGAGGAAATTGCATTTCGATAAGAAATCGAGTTAAGCCGAGGTTACTTAAAATTAAAATTATTTTAAATTCAAGTGACATCTATTATTGAGTAGGTGAAATTAAAACTAAATTATTTTTTTTTAAATTTTTTATTATTAATTAACTTAAGTAACAAATTTACTGTTCCTTAACTTCCCTAAGACGTCTTACAGCAGATCGGACTGTAGCGGCTGCTGTGGTCGAGTAAACCCAAGCTCCTCCAGCAACAATTCGTTTACATCTTTTACAGGACCAAATTCCAACGCAACTTCTCTTCATAGCATCCTTAAAAAACGATTCATTAAATCAACGTTATTACTTCAAAGTAAAGAACTCACCTTTCCACAAAAACTGCAGGAATATTTTCCGTGTTGTGTAATTTCCATCTTTTTAACCATTTTACGCAAAGAGGCACCGTAACGAGTACCATATTTGCCTACGATTCCAACCTTCTTCGTGCGTTTGGCCTAAAACAACAATTAATTTGATAATAATAATAATTACACGTTAAGAATTTTTAGTAAACATAACCTCAAAAATTTATTTTTGATGATTCGGAGGTTAAAAATGATTTTTGGGAATAAACTAAATTTAAAATACATATTTTGATGTGAGGGGAATAAGATGATTATAAACTTTTATGTTAATATTAAAGGATTGTTTAAATAAATTAAGATTAAAGTTTTTTACATACCATTTTGACAGATGTATTTTGATGAAGGAGTAATTCCGTGCGAATAAGGCGCCCTCTATCAATTTTGTTGTGTTGTTATTACGTTAGATGGCGATGTTTCTAAGTAATAAATGTATTAAATTTATAGTTTTAAAGCGAAAAATTGATTGGAATTTATTACTACTATTAAACGTTATTATTTTTAGTACTATTTAAATAAATAAGAAATATTTTTTAATAAAACAAAGAATGTGCAAAGAATTGTTTACAGTTTCAATCTTAATCGATAGATGTCGCTAACAGTATTATTTTAAAATGTACCTCTTAATATAAATATTTAATTATATATATATAGATTAGTATTTATTATTACTAATAAGAATTATTATTTTATTACTATTTAAATAATTAAGATAATTTCTTTAATAAAGCAAAGATTAATAATTTTTTGATAGTTCCTAACTTAATTGAGAGATGGTGTTATTTGTGTTATTTCAAAATTTATTTCTTTATTATTATAAGTAATTTATAATTAATTGTTTATTTTTAATTAAATTGTTATGATTGCGTTTACTTTTTATAAATTCAACGGTTTGTTTAATTGGGTTCGATTTATTTTGACGTAACTTAAATAACATCAAAAAAATTCTTTGTTTACGTCCACATTGTTGATTTTCTTCCTACATTTTCATTGATTTTCACGCGTTTCCGCACATTTTAATAAAAAAATGTCATTAAGTTTGGAAGATGTAAGCATTGTGTATTGGTTTCCGGACCGTGATAAACACAAATGCGGATATTGTAAGCAAGAAAACTCTGGATGTTCATATGGTACCCAAAAAGTGAGGTTATGTCGCTAAGATTTTCATCGAAATCCTTTTAATTTTAGGAATGTGGGCTGATTCTTTGACTGTGGATGATTATCAGGATATCATGGATCGGGGTTGGAGGCGATCTGGTAAGTATTGTTACAAGCCGATCATGAAAGAAACCTGTTGTCCGCAATATACGATTAGGTGAGAATTAACTGGGCTATTTGATTTGATAAAAATAAAAGTAAACTCTTAGATGTGATACTGGTAGTTTTAAATTGTCGAAATCTCAAAAGAAAGTTATTAAAAAATTTAATAAATGGTTGCATGATGGGTTAAATAAAGAAACAGTATGTGTTATGGAAAAGAGTCCTGAGGAGGTTGAAAATGAGAATGTTGAAATGGATGAGGCACATATCAATCATATTATGTTTAAAGAGCGCCCCGAATGTATCAACGATTACAAACAAATCGATAAAAAGCTTAAAATTGAAATGAAAGATGAATTAATTAAAGATAAAAGTGAATCAGAAAAGAATGATTTAAATGTAGAACCATCTTGTAGTAACAACCTTGAGAATTATCTTGGAAATGTTGAAATGAAGGATTTAGGCGTGAAACAATCAAGATTTAAAAAAGGGGATGGCGCAGATCCGAAAAAACCTTTACAACAGAAAGCAAAGGTGCTTCGACTTGAGCGTAAACGTAAAAAAATGGAAGAAAAAGGTTTATCGATTGATAACCACAATCAATCAATGGGACAAGAAGTGAAAACTTTAAAAAATTTCTTAGAGGAAATCGCTGATAATCCCAAGCATAAGCTTGAGGTAATTAATTAAATTATTGGTATAATTTAAGAATCATCATATCGCTTAAAAATCGACAATTTTTTTTTTTAATCACACAAATAAGCCGTAATAATATGTAAAAATATAATCTAGATAAATAGCTTTGGTACTAATAACTCCATAACAAAGCTTATAATCACATTTTTTTGTAATTGTATCAACCTAACAATTTTATGAAGGCGTATATAAAACATTTTCAAAATTTTCAGGACAGGAATTCGTAAAAACTCGTAAAAAATTTCAAAGTTTGAATTGTATACAGTGTGTGCTAAAAACTCACCAACATCCGTTTTTTTGTTGTTGTATTACATCTACGTTTCTGAAATTTAGTTTATGTTAGAGGTTCATATCGATTTTTCGATCTAAAGTAGTTTCAAGATGGTTTTTGAGTGATTTTGATTTTAAGTTTTTTTTTGACAAATTTCACCATGTTCTTAAACCCCATTTCTCAGCCAATATTCATTTAAGAAAGCTCTAACTTGGCACGATTACTCTTCAGATAATATCAAATAGATTGTCATTTGTTGTATTAACAGTTTGGTTTTTTTATTAGAACGGCATGGAATTTTGACAGCTTTTCGTTTATGTTTGTAGAACATAAATATAAATAATAAATAGAAAAAATGAAAGATTTTCTTAGTTATGAACCATATATTTCCAGTCACCAGTGAGTGCATGTTTTAATAAATTTCTCACTATGAGGAAAACTACAACGAATAAAATATGGAGAGTACCATTTAAAATTTTCGACTTGCTTGCCATTGAATGCAAGAAAACGGTAATTCAATTTTTGACCACCTGTATAAGACTGATACAGCAAATGACAATCTATTTGACAGCATTTGAAGAGTAATCGTGGATATTTAGATCTTTTTTTAATGAACGCTTGGTGAGATATGGTGTTCTAAAGAGCATGGTGAAATTTGCCAAAAAAAGAGACCTAGAACTAGAATCATTCGGGTTTAGCCGTCTTGAGAGACGTGCGGCTAAACCCGAATGTTTCTAGTTCTCGGTCTAGTGTTAGTTCTAGTTTTACACTAGCATTATCACTACAAGTAAGACGGCTAAACCCGAATGAAAAAATTTCAAAAAACGTCAATTTTTTTAATTTTTTTAGGACTTTCTAAAGGGTTGACATTAAAAAAACGTAAACAAATTCCTTTTTTCGTATGATTTAAGCATAAATTAATTAGTTCTCCTAAAAGAACATGACGTTTCATAAAATTGACATTTAATTTTGATAAATTGTCGTGAAGTTGGTTACAGTTGGTAACATTGAATTTGTGTCACATTGACGTTTAAACTTTATTCAAAAATTTATTTAAAAAAATAAATTTATGGAATCAATTTCAATAGTAGTCGTGGACAAAATATATAAGTATATAGTATATAATATACAACGCATATATTGTATATTGCATTTTAAGTGAAATTACTCTATAACCATAAAAAGAAAACATAACCTAACAAAAATAATTTGACATTTATAAAACGTCAAAAATTTCATAAATGGTATTTATGACCATTGATGCAGAAATACAAACACTTTAACACTGATTAGTAATATTTTTTAGCTTTTTCTGTTTATTGATAGCTTTGAAACACTTCCACAAACATTCTTCTATCCTGGTTAAGTATCTTTGATATGTTTCTAATCGATTCGTATCGTTTTGACAGGCACCATTGCGGTTTTTCCACTTTCTGGAATTTTTGAAATACTTGCAAAAAGATCAAAAATAATTTTTCTATTCCCAAGGTTGTTTTTAATCGATTAGAACCATTTTGACTTACACCTACCTTAACCTAACTTACGTGATAAAAATATGCGTGACGTCACATCGAAACTTGATTGTGATTTTTCGGGTCATTTCACATTAATCAAAAAGAAAATCGTCGATTTTTAAGCCACATGATAATTCTTGAATTTTTCAAAATTATTTCCCAAACAATATGTAAATAAAATAGTTATAAAATATATTTTTAAGATTAAACTCTACAGTACTAGTCAACCGGATGATGATTTAACAACGGTAATGAACATCGAACATAACGTTTATCAAAAATATCAAACGATTGTTCACGATGATCCCCCAGAAAAGTGTTCTTTACATAATTTTAAACGATTTTTAATACAAACGCCGTTAAAGGTACTAATTTATTTAATTTGTACAATAAAATTACAATATAAATTAGAGCAATTCCGAATAACTATTTTATTTACAAAATTATTTGAAATCATATCGAATTATTTAGATTATTATTTATTTAGATTAAATTTGTACGAATGAATAATTCAGAAGATACCTTTAAATTAACCGCTAAATTATTTGAAAAATATCAAATTCAAGTTCACAATGAGAAGCCATCGGAAGCTGGTTTAGACCAATTTGAGGAATTTCTCGTTGATACACCGCTTAAGGTACGTTATTCGTTGTTGCTCTATTTTTATGAAATAAAGATAATTATTAAAATAATAAATATTTTAAGCCGAAAGAAAGTGGGGTAAATGGTATAACTTACGGTTCTTATCACCAACAATATTGGATCGACGGGAATTTAATCGCCGTTGGCGTTATTGACATTTTACCACGTTGTGTTAGCTCCGTCTACTTCTTTTACGACCCCGATTACAGAAACTTAACGCTAGGAACGTACGGATCGTTGAGGGAAGTTGAATTTACCCAAGAATTAAACAAAAAATTACCTGACCTAAAATATTATTACATGGGCTTTTACATTCATTCATGCTCCAAAATGAGGTATAAAGGTAAATTAAATCCTTCAGATTTACTTTGTCCCGAAACTTTCGAATGGTTTCCAATCGGAAAATGTATTCCAAAGCTGGACGTTTCAAAATATAGCAGATTAAACGAAAATTTATCAGCTAAAGATGTTGGAGTTTGTAAACAGAGTGATATTGAGTCGATTAAGATATTAATTGGGTACCAATACACGACTTTTAGACACTATCGATATAAAAGCCGTGATTTGCATATGTATCAGATGATTGGGGCTTTAATTGGAAGGAAATGCATTGATCGCTTTATGATTATTCAGCAAAATAGTTAATAACGAAGAGGTTATGACAAAAAATGTAACCTCAAATTCGTGGAAAAAAAATTGTAAAAATAGGCGTAAATAGAGAATAATGCAATAAAATAATGTATATTTTTGGTTTTTTGTGTAATTACTGTGTTAACTATTATATTTAAAGATATTTAAAAAAAGCATATAATATATTAGATTAATATTAGATGTAGTTCATTAATAAATGTTATAAAAGTAAAATCTTACTCATTTCATTCTTATCATAATGTAATTGTATTATTAAATCAAATTGTTTATTAATAAATTATTATTATTTAAATTAATATAAATTAAATTATTTTCAGCGCCATCTAGCGATATCATTAATAATTTTGTTAATGTCAAAGTGAGTTCTAATAATATTAACAATTAAGTCATTATTTAATTCTTATTTATGAATATTTAAATTAATAATAATATATAAATGAGTATGTATTAATTTTCTTTTTAATAAATTAAATAAATTTGTTTTAGAGCCATCTTGTCACATAAATAATTTTTAAAAGTCAAATTAAGTTTTAAAAATAATTTTAATAATTAAAGCATGTTTTAATTTAATTCATACTTATCAATGCTTAAATAAATAAGAACAAGAGCAGAATCTATTTGTTTTAATTTACTTTTAAATAAATTAAATTAGTTCCAGCGCCATCTAGCGATAAAACTCTTAATTTTGTTAATATCAAAGTGAGTTCTAATAATAATTAAGTCATAATTTAATTTTTATTTATGAATATTTAAATAAATAATTGCGGAATCTATATGTATTAATTTTCTTTTTAATAAATTAAATTAATTTCTTTTAGCGCCATCTAGTGACATAAATAATTTTCTAAAAGTCAAAGTGAGTTTTAAAAATAATTTTTATAATTAAAGCGTAATTTAATTTAATTATTATTTATTAATACTTAAATAAATAGCAAGAATAAGTGGGGAATCTATTTGTATTAATTTACTTTTAAATAAATTAAATTAATTTGATTTAGCGCCATCTAGTGATACAACAAATGATTTTTTAAAAGTCAGAGTGAGTTTTAAAAATAATTGTAATAATTAAGGCGTAATTTAATTTAATTATTATTTATTAATACTTAAATAAATAGCAAGAATAAGTGGAGAATCTATTTGTATTAATTTACTTTTAAATAAACTAAATTAAATTGTTTCAGCGCCGTCTAGCGATATACCTAATAATTTTTGAAACGTCAAAGTGACAGTTCTAAAAATAATTTTATTTAATAATTAAAACGTAATTTAAGTTCATTCTTGTTTATTAATTAGACAAATATTTAAATAAACATTAAAAATGAGTGCGGAATCATCGTTAACACAAGAAAAACCAAAATCAGCGGCTCAAAAAAACCTAGATAGACTAAAACGACTTTCTAACCTAAAAAAATTAGTAAATGATGCACGAAAAGATAATCATCAAGAAGTTCTCGCCGAAGATGCTAGAAATAAACTCCCCGCAAACTTTGAAAGTCGAAAACGACAAGCCGAGTGGTTACTAAACGATCAAAAAGCAAGATCAGAGGCGCAATCGAAAGGTTTAGATTACGATAGGGTGAAATTGCTGAGTGTTTCAGCTTTGGAAGCGGAAAGTTTGGAGCGTAAGAAGAAAAAGAAGAATCCTGATAAAGGGTTTTCCGATTTTGAGGCTGCCACTGAGAGACAATATAAACGATTGGTTAAAAATATGGCTCCAAAAGACATGGAGAGATATGAAGCTGAAAAAGAACGATACGGAGATTTGTTTTATGGGGGTCCAAATGTAATTATCCATGGAATGCATGAAGATCGAACCGATGCTATCGATAATATGGTTAAAGACCTCGAGGATCAAATTTCGAAGAGAGATAAATATAGCAGGAGAAGAACTCATAACGACGACGCCGATATTGATTATATCAATGAGAGAAATGCTAAGTTTAATAAGAAATTGGATCGGTTTTATGGGGAACACACAGCGGAGATAAAACAGAATTTAGAGAGGGGAACCGCTGTTTAATTGGAATAAAACGATTCTTTATATTAAAATAAGCTTTTATTTTTCTTTTTAATTTAACATAAATAAATCTAAAATAAGATAAACAGTAACAAGATAAAATTTTTTTTTGGTTTACTTTTGAAATAAATGTATATTTTTTAATTATATACAAGACTTAAATAAAAAATAATAAAATTAAAAAAAATCATCACTGTTGCTTCTTTTTGCTTTTCGAAAATCCTTTTTTCTATCTCCCTCGTTTTTGGGGGATATTTAGGAATTTAGTCTTATATTGATTTGGCTTCTCGTATCACTAAAGAACCCAAGAATGCACTATTCCTAAATTAAAGAAGATTTATTAATAATTAAATAAATTATTTTTTTTAATTTTAGGTTATAACACAAATTGGCAGATTTTAAGTCAAATAATATGATAGGTTAAGTAAAATAAATTGAGGTTATGTGGAAAATTTAGGAATTTGGCTTCTCGAATCACTAAAGAACTCAAGAATGCACTATTCCTAAATCACAGAGTACCTTTGTACTCTGTGTACTAAATTAAAAAAGATTTATTAATAATTAATTTTTTTAATTTTAGGTTATAACACAAATTGACAGGTTAAGTCAAATTTGACAGATTAAGTCAAATAATTATGATAGGTTAAGTAAAATAAATTGAGGTTATGTGGAAAATTAGTTAACTCGACAACGAAAAAACCACTCAGATTCTTACGTCTCGATATTCTGGGTGTAACATGTATATGAATATTATCACCAGGAGCCGCTGATACTACAACAAAAAAATTTAAGATAAAGATTAAAAAATAAACTTTATTTAAATAATAATTAATAATAAAATCAATATACATATATATAATATACAATAAAATTTTTAATACAACAATCTCATAAACCATCCATAAAAATCATCACAGCAATCACAATCGTTAATTAATCATTAAATTTCTACTCTAACCATAAAATTAATTTAATTGAATGGGTTATAAACGGGGTAATTATTTAGTGGGGTGCGAGGACTCCTCGCAAAGCTTGCTGGAGAACTTCTTTGCGTATTATACAAATTTGGGATCATATAATCGTAATTTCGCACCACTTGGGGCGCGCTATATTGTTGTTGCAAAATCCTATTACTTCTGTCGTCTTGTCGAGGACTTGGAGCACCCTGAGGGGTCTTACCATGGAGAATCCGCGGCATATCGCATTGCTCACACCTGTCCAGCAATGGGTGGTTCTGGAATGTACACATATGACAGCTCCATTTGGGGCCATCATTACCGAAACTTTGTTGGTGTTGAAGAACATACGGAGGATGCTGTTGGGGTGTTGTAACTTGTTCCGTAGGAAAACCCAAACCTAAAGGGGTACCACCTCTTTGATCTTGATACAAAGGCGGCGGTGGGGGTCTCCTTTCAACAGGAGGAATTGTTTCTAAAACAAATCAAAAATGAATGATTTTAAGATTATTTTAAAAATAAATTTACCTTGTTCTGTATGCCGATCGATTTCTTGCGTAAGCTTCTTACAGGCTTCTTGTAACTCTTTAACTTCCTCTTCAAGTTGTTGAACTTGACTTTTTTCTTGGTTTTTAGTTAAAGTGTTGGGTTGATTCGTTTCTAAAGAGGCTACTTCCCGCTGCATCGCAATCAGTCGACATTTTTCAGTCTTCAGTTCTACTTCTAAGTTATTTATTCGAATTTGTTGTTTAACAACTATTGGAACTAAAAAAAATAATTATGATTAAAAAAATTTAAATTTCCCGCGCAATTTTGAATTAATCGCCATTAAAAAAAACTAGATGCCGCTAGTGTGTCGATAAAAATTATTAACCCCAAAAAAAATTATTCACTTAACGAAAGTGTATTATATTATTAATCCACTTAAAGATAACTAAAATAAAGATAATAATAACGAATTAAACGTGGAGATAACATACCACGAATTTCTGAGTTAAATAAAAAATTTAATGAAGGTTAAAAAAAATTGTAATAAAGTGAGGTTAGATTTAGATTAATTTTTGATTTCTTTCTTTTGTAGAAATCGATGTGGTAAAATAGAGCATTGTTCGTAAGGGGAGCGCTAATTTTAGCGCGGATTTTTGTGCCATTGCGATTGCAACCTCGCAACCAGCCGCTGGACAGTGCGTGAAAGTGTCTGTTTTGGAACCGTACCAAAAATACACTATAGATACGTTTTCGAGGCCCTCCCTTCGTTCGTTGAAAACGAACGCCTTTTTATTATTTTTTTCAGTTATAAACGCTTTGTATATTTATTCAAATAAAAAAAAATTAAGTTGGCAACACTAAATCAATTTTTAGGTTAAATTACCTTCTTCGTGATTTTCCGTACTATTATTATTATTACGCAAATCCGTCATAGACCCCGCTCTATTTGCAGGTAATATACTTTCAAGATTATTTTCATCAGGATGATAACTACTCCTCGGTCTCGTTCTCATTGAAGAAACTCTCCCTCCACTTGGCCCAACGGTAATTTGCACTTTACTTTGTAATCCCTTTTGCGGATCAAAACTACTTGTGGAATATGTTAGACTTGAATTTTGTGATGTAATATCAATGGGGGGTTGAGGTTCCGAAGATGGGGGCCTCAACGTTAAATTAACGCTGGTGAAGCTTCTTGGAGATGTAACTTCTTGGCACCACGGTTGTTGGGGAACGACTTGTAACGATGTTGTACATTTCGTTTTGTTGGTTGGGGTTTGTACGTCCATCGAACAATTAACGTTTAATGAAACGTTCATGTTTGGGGAAACATTTTTTTGGAGCCCCAAAAGGGTGTCTGTCGTTTGTGTTGGGGTATCCGCGGTTTCTTTTTTTTCGATTATTGGAGATTTTGTTGGGGATGTTTTAGTTGGTGAATTTTTAACGTTGGTGAACCTTTTATTGCTTTGGGGCGACCTCGGGGGTTTATTAACCAACTCAGAATTTAATAATTTATGAACATCACTACACTTTCCACTTGGTTGAATGTTATTAAAACGTTCCTGAGACTGTTTGGAGGTGTTTAAATTTAAAGTGTTTGGTCGTTTTACATAAAACGAACTATTTCCGACATTCAACTCCGAACCGCACTCCGCCTCAACACTCTCGTTCTTTTTATTATATTTAACACCACTCATTATCTCGTTTTGATTTTTGATTAGCCTATTAAAGGGGCCACCCTGTAACGATTCGGTGGTGATTTTCAAGTTGAGATTTTCACCGGGAAAATCTTGCGTTTGATGGTGGGAGGTGATTTCGGTGGTTGGTGAGGGCAGGTCGATGTCCTGCGGGGGTTGAATCCGTCCCATTAGCTCTTGTTGCGCCAACGCGTCCTCCAAAGACTCGATCAGCACCTTTTTATTAATTTTCGACGAGTGGCTCGCGATGCAAGTGGAAACCACGTGATCTGGTAACGTTGGAAATTGTTGTTTTAACTCGTGGAATAACTGCATCGCTCTCACGTTAGACGATTTCCGTCCGACTCCACCGAACATGGCAGGCCATTATGATTGAAAACCTATAGATTAAAAAGAAACAATAATCTTTAATCGAATCAAAATAATTTTGACGTTTACTAAGTTTACTTTAATTAACTCCATCTAGCGGTAACGAGTTACATTAAATGCCATTTTGACATGTAAAATATTAATTTTTATTAAAATCATCAAATTTAACAAAAAAACGTATAATTGAACTAAAAATCCATCAAAATACATTTTTGAAACTATATAAAGTAATTTTAGGTACCACGAAGACCACATAAAAGAGTTAATCGAATTCACTAGAAATAACCTAATTTTTAACATGTCAATTTAATTTTTTTTTAATATTTTAAAAAACGTATTATTAAAACAAACACAGTAAGTCGATTAATTTTATTACTTTTAAATCATTTAATCTTTTTAATTATTCTGTAATTAATAAAATAATTAAATTAATTAATTTTTTTATTTACAAAATAGTTGCTTGCTCCATCTAGCGGTAATAACCCCTATTAAAACGTATTGACATCTTTATTTTTTATAAAATTATTAGGTTTTACGAAAAAGTTGAACCAAAAACCCATTCAAATTACATTTTTCAACGCCAAAACTATTTATATAAAGTGATTTTAGGTTCCATGAAGAAATATTCACCCCCAAATTAATCAACACAACCTAACTTTTAACCTGTCGATTTAAATTTTATGGATATTTTTAAAAATCGTTTTATTACAACAAAGACACAGTAAGTCGATTGATTTTTTTTAATTTTAAATCATTACTAATTCTATAATTAATAAAACTTATAAATTAATTAAGTTTTTCTTTTTAAAACTGTTGCATACTCCATCTAGCGGTAATAACCCCTATTAAAACGTATTGACAACCTCAACTGTTTATGAAATTATCAACTTTAACGAAAAAGGAAATCAAATTGAACCAAAAACCCATTCAAATTACATTTTTCAACGCCCCAACTATTTATATAAAGTGATTTTAGGTTCTATGAAGAGATATTCGCCCCCCAAGTTAATTGAATTCACCAGGAACATAACCTAACTTTTTAACCTGTCAATTTAAATGTTACGGATATTTTTAAAAATCGTTTTTTAAAGCAGAGTAAGTCGATTGATTTTATTTATTTTAAATCATTTAATCGTTAATTAATTGTATAATTGATAAAATTTTAATTAATTTTTTCTTTTCAAAACAGATTCTTATCCCATTTATTTTTATTCAATTATCAAGTTCAAAAGAACTTAATAAAATTACATTTTTGATGGCATTTTTTATGTTCTCATATAAGAAAACTTTGCCTTCATGGAAAGTTCCCTATCAAGTCGAGCAGTTTTCCATATCAACGAAAATATCACCACCGACAAGTTACACTGTTTATAATATTTTATAAACAGTGTAATACATAATAATATTTATGGTTATTTTATAAACAGTAAGGTGTTCGTTAAGAAGGAGCTTATTTGAGATACTACCTTATTTGAGTACTTCTATGCTAAAAATTCCGCCATCTATTATCACAAACGCGAACATTAAGAAATGTCAATTTTTGACATATGTCAAAAAATTCGCAAAAAAATTAAATATTTCTAAATTATTGTTCGATTTAAGCAATTACTCAAAATTTGTATGTAACAAACGCAATAAATTTTATATCCTTTTTATATTTACAACATTGCTTCTATAATTATCCAATAAATTTCAGATTTACTCGCTTTACACCTTTTGGGGAGATAAGAAATAATTTGTAACGCATTCAAGGAGACTAATGGAGTTATTTACATGTTTTAAGACGTTAAACTCGCCTCAAATTTATCAACTCGCCCGTCCAAGAAATTTAAACGGGACCTAAATACCAGAAATTCCACTCGTATTTTACAAATTTAATAAAAGTTAAAAATTAAATATTGTTTTTTACTATGTACACGCAAAAGAGTCAAGGTTAAACCAGTTGCACGGACAGTTGGGTTTTGAATTTTATTAGGAGGCTTCCACCTGGATGACTCACACCTCGTTTCTTTTACCAAAGGAAAAAAGAAAAACATAAAATCACGTTGTGAAAGCAATGATAATAATATGTAACAATTTGATGACGTTTTGGTGGGAAAACCCAAACGATTTAAAACACTTTTCCTTGATTGTTTTGCAGCATAATAGATAATAAAAAGGTAAACTTAAAATATGGGATTATAAAAAACCATGGTACGATATTGATTGGGGTTTTGAAAGAATTATGTTTCTAGCGTCGATAAACACATTGCTCTCGCGACTATATTTAAAGCGGGAGACTTTGAACTTAACATTTAACCGTTTTTTTTTTTTTTTTATTTTTTCGCGTTATCGCAAACTGTGAGCGTAGATTTTTGCGAGTTACATACATCACAGGGACATCGTGAATTAAAAAAAAATACTCGAATTGCGATAAAATAAGATATAAATATCTCGTTTTGTTTGTTCGTAGATAAGAAAATGATTTCCCGGAAATATTTTTTTGCAATTAACATGTTTTTAGTTAATAAGTTAACATAACCTTTGACGCAGGTCAATTAAATGACAGAAAGTAAGGTTAGGTAACATTGAAATAATTAAATCCCTATTTTTTAATTAAATTTGATTCATTTTTGATTAAATGAAATGATTTGTAGCGTAAATATAAAAGAACTTGAGTATTGTGTACTCCTGGATGTAACATTCCTAATTCGCAATCTGTTTGCATCCAAATATAACGTAGCTTAGTTATTTTCGGTATGCTCTAAGTAGAACTTTCCAATTTCGTATTATACGTTTCTCTGTGAATATTTCTCAAATGGATTCCTTGAAATTGGTTATTTATAAATGCTTTTTAAACAAATAAAATGTCAACCTCATTATACAACCTTATTAACCAATCTTTCCCTTTTATGCGATTTATTTTTATTTATTCTGTTTCGTCTCGATTATTATCGTTGAATAAATTAACGATATCTAGACGTCGAGGTCGTCATGCGACTCGGCTGCTACGTGCCGATGGATTTATAAAATCGAGGAAAAACGGGTCGAGCTCTCTCAATACCATCCGCTCGAATTTGATCAATCCGTGCAATAAATTCACTAACGCACCTGCGGCTAACAAATTTCGCGCATAAATCTCCGGTATATTTAGATTCCTAACGGTCATGTGCCAAAATGCATGTAGTTCGGAAAACTAGCTCAAAATCCAATTGAAAAAGTTGTGGGTGTTTGAGACATCCATTTTTTTCATCAACAAAAACACCAATTTTATTGATTTACCCAAATATATCCACATTTCCAATTAATTTTTTTGACATTTACTTTGACATTTCAATTTTGACGTTTCAACTTCACACCATAAAAAGATTTTATAACCTTAACAAATTTACAAAAAAATTAAATCAAAATAAAAAATCATTCTATTATAATAAAATCTAAAAATAATTTCGCCTTATTTCATTTAACATTTAATCGTTTCGATTAATAATAAAAGGATAACGAAAACATCGACACAACTAAAGACGTAGTAAACAAAGCGATTAAATTATGTTGGCAACACTGTTTACATTTTGACGTTTCTATGCACCCTTCATTTGGGGGTTATTTAAATAAAATTCGTTGTGATTTTAGATTTATTGTCGGTTTCTCCGCGCACCGTCGAACGTGGAGGCGTCGTTGACGTCAGAATCTTCTGACGTTCGCGTGATTTTGGAACAACGCCGGCCGAGAGAAAATTCCCGTTCTCAGGTGTAAAACGTCGAGCACGAAAACAACAATAACGAGGCGGATTTAAAAATAATTGAGTAAATCTTAGAAACAATAAAAAAAAAGGGATGATACGTACCTGCGCAACTGAGCAGCATCCGATTTCGTTAAAAAAAGAATTTCGTTCAACAAACAACACCTAACCTAACTTTAATCACTGTTGACGGGAGGGGGGCGCGCACTCTACGTTTGGCGTTGTCGCGATGTTTCCTCACGATACAGGATCGTTTTTATTTTTGGGAGAGAGGAAAAAGCAACCGCGCGAATCGCACTCACCTATCAAACTAATGTAACACAAATAGTACCCAGATTTCGTCATTTTAGAAAGTCGATCGTCGCGGTTACTAGCGGCCAATGTCCAAACTAAATTTAATATCTATTTAATTATTATTATTAAAAATTAATTAATTTTATTAATAAAAACATAATAATTATAAATAAATCATCTTATTTAAACAATTTAATTAGTAATTAATTCAAAAATTAATAATTGTGAATTATATTAATTTACTTTACTCAAAAGATGGCGATACTATATGTCAATGTTTAAATGACATTAATTTTTTTCAATATTAATCATATTAATTATTATTATTTAAAATTAATTATTTTCGTTAATAAAAACTTAATAAATCATTTTATTTAGTTATTTAAACAATTTAATTATTAATAAATTCAAAAATTAATTGTGAATTAATTTATTTTACTCAAAAGATGGCGCCACTATATGTTAATGTCATTTCATTTTTTCAATATTAATCATATTAATTTCGTTAATAAAAACTTAATAATCATAATTAAATCATTTTATTTAGTTATTTAAACAATTTAATCATTAATAAATTAAAAAAATAATTAATTACATTAATTTACTTTACTAAGAAAGATGGCGCTATTATATGCAAAGGTCATTCAATATTTTATTATTAAAAATTAATTAATTTAGTTAATATAAACTTAAAAATCATAAATAAATCATTTTATCTAGTTATTTAAACAATTTAATTATTAATAAATTAAAAAATTGATTGAGAATTAATTTAATTCACTTTGCTCAAAAGATGGCACCACTTAATGTCTTATAATTTTTACATTTTCAAATTTAATTAAATTAATTTTCCACTTCTAAACTATGAGTTGATATAATAGGCCATGTATCATTATATTCATCAATATCAACAGATGTATAAACACACGACTTAATTTCTGTAACGCTCCGTTTTCCTTTCGTTTCGGGTAAAAAAACGACCGCGAAAACGGCCCCCAATAAACATTGAGTCGCAAAAAACCACATAATAACATGTACCCCAACCAAACGACTCATCCATTTATAAATTTTAGTTACTATAAACGCAATTATTCCCTCAAAAGTGGTTGTGGTTGCTAACATCATGATCCGAGTGTTGGGTGGGAACAATTCCGAGCATGCCATATTTATTTCGGAACCAATTCCGAGGTTGTAGAAGATTAAAAAGGCGGCGATTCCTCCAGTTGGGAGCCAAGCGATTTGTGAGGTGTCGATTTTTGAAATATCTTGGAAATAAAAGTAGGAACCTTCTAATGTTAAGGCTACACCTGCAGCTATCGATGATATTGCAATCACCGGTTTGCGACCGAACATGTTTATGATTGACCCAACAGATATTGCTGATAAATAAATTAAATTTATAATTATTTTTATAAATAATTCAATTATTTACTCGCAGGGATTAAAACGCCCCCAAAAATCAAACTTGAGTCGTTCCAATGAAACATTGATGTGGTTAAGTTAATGATATCGGGCATATATCCGCTTATTGCAGTCCAACCACTACATTGTTGCAGAATTTTCATCCCTACAATTACTATTAATAATTAAATGAATCAATTTTAAATAAATTTTACCGGCAACAACGATTAAAGGATGCCTAAATTTAGAGCCGAATAAAAAATCTATCGTTGTAATCTTGTGTGTTAAATTATAATTAAGCTTCTTTTGGAGCCTCTTAATCGGAGATACCAATAAATACCCTGAAAGTGTTTGCACGCTTGCGATGCTGTTCATGGCACTTAACGCGCCTTCTTTATCTCCCTTTAACATTAAAAAATAAGGCGATTCCGGAATAAGAAGTAATAAACAAAAAAGTATGATGGGTTGGATGGCGCAAATCACAGCGAGGACTTGATACGAGATATAAGGATTCGTCAATAATATAAACGCAGTTCCTAACATTTTATAAGAGACCATATACGATTCCAATTGATCCATTCCTTGTCCTTCAGGGATTATTTCGTTGCAATAAATCATCGCGGCCTAAAAAATAAATTAGCTAAATAAAAAAAAGATTTTGTGGTTATTTTTTACAAAAACTAAAAGAGATCCTGCCATTCCCGCTAAAAATCGCGCGACGTAAATCACTTCGGTGTTTATTGCGAAAGAGATTAGAATCCACGGGGGGCACAATAAAAATGAACAGCATAAAAGGACGGTTCTTCTACCGATTCGGTTTAATAGGAATCCTCCGAAAACACCGGCCGGGATTATTCCCAGGAAATAACTTGAAACGACCCAAGCTCCTTCTTCCTTTATGATTAAAATTAATTAAAAGAGAAAAAAGGAGATTAAAAAGGTACTACTTCGGTTATGAATCTTCCTAATGGGGAGTTTGAGGAATGAAAGATTGATAGTGACGGTGAAGCCCATGTTGTGAACATTGCGACCATTCCAAACGGGAAAATTCCTAAAAAAAATTTTGGTTTATCTAATTTTATTGATTATTTATTGTACCAATAGCCACACATATTCCTTGTCGATCACTTATCCCAAATAATTCCAATAATTTCTTTAAGACCATTTATCAAATTTTTGACGTTTTATAAATGTCAAATTAATTTTTGTTAGGTTATGCTTTCTTTTTGTGGTTATAGAGGAATTACACTTAAGATGCAGTATACAATAATATATTATATACTTACATATTTTGTCCACGACTACTATTGAAATTGATTCCATAAATCTATTTTTTTAAATAAATTTTTGAATAAAATTTAAACGTCAATGTGACACAAATTCAATGTCACCAACTGTAACCAACTTCACAACAATTTATCAAAATTAAATGTCAATTTTATGAAATGTCATGTTTTTTTACGAAAATTAATTAATTTATGCTTAAATCATACGAAAAAAGGAATTTCTTTACGTTTTTTTAATGTCTAACCTTTAGAAGGCCCTAAAAAAATTAAATTAAATTAATGTTTTTTGAAATTTTTTCTTTTTTGAAAGTATCGCTAAACCAAAATATTTCTAGTTCTAGGTCTAGTGTTAGTTCTAGTTTTAATTGTTATTCAGCGTTAGATTGTGGTATATTTTATTGAATGAAAAGTAGAACTAACACTAGACCTAGAACCGGAATTAAAAATATTTTTTAAATAAATCAATTTGTTTAATGGATTTTAATTATTACAATTTTTTAGTTATAAAGTATAAATTAGTTAATCTGCTTTAAATGGATTAACAATATTGGGCCCAGGAACAATACCGCATGGTGCCAAATGTCGTTCTGGTCGTAATGGACATGGACACGTAGATTTGTGAACTTCAACGTCTTTGTATAAACACGTGCGCTCTTCTTTGGGAGCCTTCAAATACAGCATGCAATCTATACAGTCCAATCGAGCGTCCACTTTATCTCCATCGTGGGTTATCGGAAGGATGTAGTGCAAATCAACGCGATGAAAACTACTATCAGTACCATTATTCTCTTTTTGTAAAGCGTGTATATGGATGACGGTCATTTGATGAGTTTTCACGGTGATGTCGTCCATTCTATAGTTTCCAACGTTCAAAGATATGTGGTAAGCATCATCGGTTATTGATTGCTTTTTGCAGAGGTTTGGGCACGGAGCTGTAAAACTTGGTAATTTGGTGTTTTTTCGTAGTGATGATCTTAAGATGAGTGGGAAGCGAAGTTTAGAGTTGAGTCGTGATGCGCTTCTTAAAAGAGACATGGTTTTATGATAAAAATGTTTTTTATATGTTTTCGGTACAGACAATTTTGATGATGTTGACGTAAACAAAAACAAAATTATAACTAAATAAATATTATAACGTTTCTAAGCATCTTGTTTGTTTTTTTTTAAATTTATTACTTTCAATTTTCGTTTTCATCAACATCATCAAAAATTCGTTGTACCGAAAAATCATGTCTTTTTTAAGATCTTTATCACGATTCAATTTCAGACATCAATTCCCCATCACCTTAAGATCAGTAGTACGTAAGAACAACTCTGAATGTAAAAAGAAGAAAGGTGGATGCAAAAAAGAGACGTTAGGTGGGTACCCAACGTTTACAGTCCCGTGTAAAGTAGACCCGTGTCATCCCCCGGAAGAAATCGACGATTGTTATCGGGTCATTTTGAACGCATCGACGTTTAAATTGAGCGAAATCCAGGTGAAAACTCATAAATTAACCGTCATTAACGTTCATGCGATTCAAGAGAAGCGTAACAGCAACAGCCTTCATAACATCGATCTGCAATACGTAGTTCCTTTAACACACGACGGGCAAAAATTGGATGTGCAGATAAACTGTCAGAATGGGATTATGGATATGAGGGCTCCTAAACAAGAATGCCCCATTGAAATGTTGTACAAACACATCGATATTCAGAAAACTACAGAGCCGTGCCCAACACCTTGTAAGGTAGTTCCTAGGCGGGAGTTGAAACACTGCGATTGTAAATTGTTGAAAAAGAAAGATTAAAAGATAACATCTAAGTTGATTTTATTCTTTTTAATTAAATTTACGTATTATAACAATTATAATAAATTTTATTTAAAAAAATCTCAGGACCAATAATATACATAATATTATAATTAAGATACTCTATGTTACATTTACATCGTTAATCAACTTACAAAAATAATTCTATTTTATACTTGATGCGTAACACAAAAATTAAAATAAAAACAAAAAAAACTTAATATGGATTAGGTAAAGGCGGAAACGAGCAATTATCTTTTTTTTTTCGTTTCTTACCTAATATACACCTGTAATTGTAAAGCACATTGTAATAGAACTTTCACCCCCGGCATAAAACTGGCTATTTGGGCGAAATCCGGCCCTGATACCATTTGCGTATGCAAATTTAAACCATTCGAATAATCCCCGTTTTGAACTATTTGAACCATTTGATGTAATAGTTGTAAAGTGTTTGGAGATAACTAAAAATAAAGCAATAATTAAAAACAAATAATTAAAAGCTTATAATAATTACTTTATGTTCTCTTAATAAATCGTATAAACTCTCCAATTTTCTTCCAACATCTTCTAATTTCCTTTTAGTTTGTGGGTTATTACTAGTAATGGAACACTTATTTCTTAGCTCGTCAAAAACCGTTTGCATATGGATGTGTTCCTCGGGAATCGGAGGTTTTTGAATCATCATTGGTTGACTGGGCTTTTCAATTTGTTGAGTCGTTAAAACTCTTTGCCCTCCTAACGGGGATGCCGTAACAGCTTGAGTATTAAAATTACTTGGGTTAAAACCACCTTGATGTTGTTGTTGTTGAGGAGGCATCATTGGTTGGAAGATATTCGATGGGGGTGGTTCTTGAATTTGGGGTTGTTGATTAAATTGATTTGGTGGAGGGAAGTTTATGGGGGCTACGGGTGCTGAACCATAAATTGGGTGTGTTATCGGATCTTGAGGGAGAATTTCTTGTTTTTGCTAAAAATAAATTAATTTAATAATTAACCTCAATCTGTCAAACGTCAAATAAAAACTAAAAACAAACATTTTTATTATAATTTTAATTCAAAATGAATTAAATTATTGAATTTTTACCCAAAATTAGAAAAATAAACCGATAAATAATATTAAAATGAAAGTTTTCCAATTTTATTTGGATTTAAAAATTTTTTATAGTTCGGTTGGTACTGATTAAGTCAAATCACACTCTAACCTCACTTTTTTTAAAATCTTTTAAATCTTATTATGATTTTAATTTAAAATGAATTAAATATTAAAATTAAATTTTTCAAATTTTATTTGGATTTAAAACCACACTCTAACCTCACTTTTCCTAGTCCACCTGTCAAACGTCAAATAAAAACATTAATATTAAAAAAAAACTTATGATTTTAATTTAAAATGAATTAAATTATTGAATTTTTACCCCAAAATCAAAAATAAAAAAAAAATAAACCGATAAAGTCTTTAAATATTAAAATTAAATTTTTCCAATTCTATTTGGATTTAAATTTCTTTTTGTTCGGTTGGTACTGATTAAGTCAAACCACACTCTAACCTCACTTTTCCTAGTCCACAATCTCAACCCGGAATGTTGAGCGGACATTTGAACCCTTTCGCCATACTTTAAACATTAATTTGTAATAAATATTCTTTTAAATAATTGATTTTTAAATATTTTAGAAACTAACCTGTGGTCTCGATTTGCTAAAAAATGGGGGATCATTCCATCCGGGGGCGCTGGTTTTCGGCAATGTATTAATAGCTGATTGTCCCATTTCGATCGGGGGTTGTCCTGGGTAATTAGCACTCGAAAAAGTATTTCCCGGCATATAAGGAGTTGGAATAACCGGATTTAAAACGGAATTTGGCATCCTCGAAACCTCCGAAACCACCGGAAATTGATATAAATTATTTCCAAATTGTTGTTTAGAAATATCGTTAGTAAATTGATCGTGATTAAATTGATTTTGTCCTAAATTTGATATCGGATTAGAATTAAATTGGTTTCTTTGATAAGTGTTGGATTGAACGGAAGGATCAACAACGTATTTAGCGCGATTTCCTAAACCACCACTTTGACTATTAGTTCCGGTGACGCTTGGAGGGCGAGGTGGTTGAGTTGGGGGAGCTGGAGAAAACGGTTTCGGAGGAGCTTGCCACGGCTGTTGTTGTTGTTGTTGATTAATGGGGTTCGTATTAAATTGATTGCTAAATGGAACTGGAAATTGATTGTTTTGAATCGGCTGTGGAGCGTAATTGCTAAACGAAGTTCGAGTGCTGCTGGTTCGTTGCTGGGTTCGTTGAACATAACCTGGTTTTTGACCCAAACTGACGTGGAGGCGATTTCGGAGTTCGGCCACTTTTTCGTTTTGAGATGAACCAAGGTAATTTAACGCTGATTGGAGGCTTCCTTGGGAAGCTAAGATGAAGGCGTAATTTGATAATAAATCGGCTAATCCACCAGTAATCTAATAAAAAAGAAAATTTTTTTAACCTCAATCTGTCAAATTTTTGTCAAAAATTAATCTGTCAAAAAATTCTTCGATTTTAATATTACCTCAACAGATTTTCCTTGTCTTTCTATACTTCTTTGTAAAAACATAACTAATTCAACTAATTCTTGTAAATCATCGCTAGAAAATCGTTCTTTTCCACTCCAAGAATGCACCAAGCGGTCAAAACTTCCAGAACAAATGTAACAAAGTTGCGCATCTTTAGCAAATTTAGGATTTGTGGCACTTTCTTGATCTAAACGATTACCCAACATCTCTAAAATTAGCGAATTAGACTCGATTTCTTAATAACCATGTAAAAACGCACCACATAACCTAGGATAATCCTCGTCGTTACAATGCGTTAAAATTCCAACAAGAGCTTCCTTCCAACAATAAATATCACAATTTTCCACAACTGTGTTCCAATCCTCCGACACTAAAGCCGAAATTAACGAAGAAAGGTAACTGCTTTCTTGTTTCAAATAACGACTTTGAGTTTTTATGAATAAATCCGGAGTTCCTGCATAAAAAAGTTTTTAAATAAAAAAGATTATTTATTAATTTATTAAGTACCAGTTCTTGCTATAATAATAGCCTCCGTGTATTTATTCGCTTTAATGCATAACTCAACGGCAGCTTCCACATTTCCCATTAAAATAGCTTCCGTTATTAATCCATTCGAATCTAAAGTTAATAAATTAATTAATTTTAATTATTCATTTATTAGAGAGAACTCACCATCACCCGTTTCTATTTTAAACTTCGCTTGGTTCTTTTTTTCGATCGATTTCGAAATCATTTCAAATTCATCTCCTTGCTAATAATAAAAAATTGATTAGTTTTATTAATACATAGTTATTAATTAATTTTAATTTCAATATTAAAGATTTCTCGATAACGCTTAATTTGTTTGTATTGTATTGGCTTCGTCGCTATGGCAACGAGGCTCATCTCAGCTAATTGCGCATCACTTAAATAAATAATTCTTAATTTTTATTCATAATTGCGTATTATTATTGAAATATACTTAAATTAGTGAAGAAAACTTAAAAAAAAAAAAAAATAAATCTATTTGTTTGTTAATATTGGATTAAAAAAGTAATTGGTTCATTTGAATTTTAGATGTGACGTCATTGACGCTTTCTAAAAATCTAAACATAACCTAACTTAACAATACTTTTGGAATAATTTAAAGTTAATTCTTAAATTATACCGGAATTAGTGTATTTACAATTTTAATCAATAAAAGCAAAAAGAAAAAAAAAAATAAGACGAATTAGAGAGATTTTTTAGGTTACATTAATTTGACAACTAATATAACCTAGAAATTTGACAACTTAAACTGAATTAATGAACGTAGCCAAAATTAATAAAAATTAATTACCGCATTAATATTATCAAATCCATCCGTAATTTGGTCGATATCATGTTTATTATTAACGACACCATTTAATTTTTCATTTAAATCATCGATTCGATACCCCAATAAATTTAAAATTTCAGCTCTAGGATTTTCCTCGAAATTAGCCCGAATAAAATGCCAAATAAATTTTTTGTGTTGATCCGAACTAAGATCCGCCTTATTTCGGCAATAATCCAAAAAGTTTCCGTACTCTAAAGCACTCTCTAACTCCATCGATTTATTAATTAAATCAGTTTCTGTCACAACTTGACTAATTGTAACTAAATGTGTTGGAGTTTGAACGCCAACGTTAACTCCTGGTTGAGGTTTTTCGTTCAAAAACGTTATTAATTTCCCACCAAACTAAAAATAAACCAAATTAATACAAAAATGTAAATTAATTAAATTAATTTACCCCAAACGAAGCTCCAACAGGCCGTTTTAACCACTTTGGAGGTTTGCTTAAATCAACACTAATTGGGGCGACGTTTTGTTGTTGAACAGGGGCTTGAACATAACCATCCATCCCTGGAAAACTATCAGCGATCTTATTCGTGGTTTGAATTTGCGCAACTTTTCCCCCCATCAAAGAAAACACAGAAACATGCCCATCGAAACCAGATGTAGCAATTAAAGCGGGATTTTTTGGGCACCAAGTAACATCAAAATTCCACTGACTCGTCCTTGAAATTTCTGATAACACCTCACCCCCTTGTCGGTCAGAATTTGGGTTCCAACACAAAATCCGCGAATCTTTCCCACTCGAAATTAAAAGATCCGCGTCTCTTTGACACCAAGCGATTGATAAAACTCCCCGTTGATGATTCTCCAACGTTTTTAAAGGAGATGTGGCGAATCGTAGATCCCAAAGTTGAATGATCGGGGCTTGATCTTCCTCGGAAGCCAAACAAAGTTGGGTTGCAACTTCCGGATGCCAAGCAACCGTTTTCCAACGAATCCTCGATATCGTATCGGTTAATTTAATGATTGGCTCGTTTTTTCTTAAATCCCAAACAACACATTTCGAATAAAAAGTTGACGCTAATATGTGCTCAACCTGTTTGTTCCATTGGATCGAAACGACGTCTTCGGGGGGTTGCGATTTCGCGCCCGGAGTCATCGGGGAATTTGTATTATTTAAATCCCAAATGTAAATTTCGCTATCGCTTGCTCCAGAAGCGATTAAATTTCCTTGAAATGGATTAAAATCGATTGTGCTAACAGGACCGTTATGTTTATGTGGGGAGGCGCTTAAACCCGGCTCATTTTTTAATAATTTAGACGCGTTATAAATTTGGATAACCCCGTTATCGCAACCACCAATCACAGTTCCATATTCACCACCGCTTGGCCCCCAAATAATTTTATGAAAACGATGCTCACTTTGGACGTTTGATTTTTGCTCCATTTCCGAGCTAGGATCGCAAAGATTTAACGAAAATATTTCTAACGCTGCGTTTGTACTGAACGAGGCGTCGAATTGTTGAGCCGCCGTTCCGGAAGCTAAATAAATCGGGGTTATGGTGATTGGGGACCAGGCGATATTCGCCATCCTTTCTAAGTCTTTTACTTTCATCTTGTTGTTTTTTTTAGTGCTAAAATTAAAAGGATTAGGTTAATTTTGTGGATTTTTCGGCGAAATTAAAGCGAAGGTTATGTTTTATTCTAATCGGAGTTTGTACCTTATTCGGATTCAACCACTGCATTTAACAAATAATTAATTTTTTACTTTTAAAAGCCGCTTTTGAATTTTATTTTAACACTTCCAACGTGGCTAGAGTTTTATTTACTTTTTGACATTTGATGTAAACGTCAACAAATTCAGTGGTACCAACTTAATTTTAGTTATTTTTGTTTAGTTATAAATCTAGTATATCTATAAACGAGGTTGTTATTATTCGGTAAATTAATTAAAATTAAATTATCGCACGGTTTAACGATTATAAATAATATTGTTACCTTTTTGTCTTGTAAAAATGATTGATTTAATATTTAATTAACATGGAAGAAATGAGATGGCGCTAAAACTTGTCAAAGTTCAAAATTGGGCCGTAGAAATTCGTGCCGTAGGTTGGTAACGCTAATGTCTATCTTTGAAATTTGAATCATTTTTACAATTAAAAAAAATTTTTAATTATTTTAAAAATTTACCACAATCTAACGCTGAATAACAATTAAAGCTAGAACTAACACTAAACCTAGAAATATTCAGGTTTAGCCATGCGTCTCTTAAGACGGCTAAACCTGAATGTTTCTAGTTCTAGGTAAAATGTTAGTTCTACTGACAGTGCTAGTTTAGCATTAGATATCGCTATGCTGTATATTTTTATTGAATTAAAACTAGAACTAGAATGATTCTAGTTCTAGGCCTTGTATTAGTTCTAGTAACAGTACTAGTGTAAAGCTAGAGTGTTTCTATTTCTAGGTGTAGTGTTAATTCTAGTTTTAATTGTTTTTCAGCGTTAGATTGTGGTATATTTTTATTGTACAAAAAGTAGAACTAACACTGGACCTAGAACTAGAAACATTTGGGGTTGGTTGCCATGGTTACACATTGCTACTACTATTTTTCTATCTCAAATGAATGGGAAATAATGAAAGTTTAAAATCATTTTTCTCGAAAATTGACGAAATTGACTGTACTAGATTCAGAAAAAAGTCCTCTTTCATATTCCGTAATAGAAATGGCGAAATGGGAATTATTGAAAAGAATTAATTTTAAAGAATAACTTAAAAATTTGTTGAGAATCATAAAGAAAATTGAAAATCCTTTAATTTGACACCCAACAACCTATATAAATTTCGAAATTTTTTTTTTATCGGTGTATTTTAATTAATAATTCCTTAATTTTAGGATAAAGTTAGGAATTAAAAAGAATTGCAATTTTATAAATTTGTATTCTTAAATGTATATACAGGAAATAACAATTCTAATTGAGTTTTTCACTTTGTTTTCGTTAAGGAATATTGTGCTAGTGCAATAATCGAACTGATTATTAATTTCTTTTTATCTTAAAGAAAATAACATCACTTAAATCATTTATACAGTAACAAAAATAAGCTTTTTTTTAGTAAATATTGTTTATGACGGGGAAGAAATATACAAAAGAGTATTATCGCGTAAGAATTGCCAAAGTAATAAACTAAGTTACTAAAAAAGAACATTCCATATTTAGTTTATATTGTAAGATCTTGCTTAAAAGGATATTTTTATAGGTTTTTTTTAAATTAACATTCTGGCAATGCTTACTTCTGCTTCAAAACTACTTTGTATCTAGAGGCGTGCGCTACATAAGACAGGCATACAATAATTATTTATATATTAGAAAAAACTAAGCATTCAAATCCACTTATAAATCGTCGTCATTTGAATGGGAAGCTTTTTCGTTCCAATTTTTATTAGGTTTTTACTAGATTAGGAGAATTTATAATGTATGTTTACTTAAAAAAATATCAAACCACCTTTGAGGTAATCCGATTAAAAAAAAAAAAAAAATAACTTTACATAAATTACGATCTTAAATAAGTTACATTCCCTTAAGTATTACTTCGATTTTTTTTAACAAAAAAGGAAGAAATTGCATTTTAAAAAACAATAATTACATCCATAATCCACTTTTCCTCCTTTTTTTAATCTTTTCTGATGTTTAACGGCACTCCCATACCTTCACCGTTTGATCAACACTTCCAGATATAACATAAGGATGTGACCTATGAAAATCTAAATACACACAACAAAAAGTATTTAATTACATCAAATTAATTCAAAAATTATAACTCACCTAAAGACGTACAGAAATGTTTATGAGCATTAATAACTTTCATACAGCGTTTATTTCTCAGATCCCAAACGCGTAGCGTTTTATCATCACTAGCAGAAACCAAAAATTTCCCTCCAGGATGAAAAACGACTCCTCGAACCCAATTATCGTGCCCTTGAAGTAAAATCAAACAAACCGCCGCTGTTACATCCCAAATACGTATCGTTTTATCTCGCGATCCCGACACCAAAAACGGCCCCGTATGCGAGGCTTTTCGATTATCGGTGGAGCCGACAGCCTCGTTAATAGCTGATGAAGCAGATTCTGGGGCCCAAGCTATACATTCGATTACGTGTTCGTGGGCTCGTAACTCAGCTCGACATTCCCGGGTCGAAACGAGCCACACTCGAACGGTTTGGTCGTTCGAACAACTTGCCAACATTAACCCATCGGGGGATGGTCGAACCATTCTAACCTAAAACATAGTAGATTAAAAATTAATAACACAAAATTGTTTTTTTAATTTATTACGAACCCATTCTCGATGCCCAACAAACGTCCTAACCGAATACCCGGTGGTTACATCCCACATTTTAATCGTCTTGTCTCGACTGGCTGAAACGACGAAATCCCCCGCTGGCATAAAAGCGACGCTCGATACATTATGGTCGTGCCCGAGCATCGTTCGGACGCAATCGAACGTTTGCTGGAAATCCCATAACTTAATCGACATGTCCGCGCTGCAAGAGACCAATGTTTTTCCTGTTGAGTCGAAGGCGATGTCTTGAATCGAATCGGTGTGACCCTTGAGGGTGCGCTCGTACTCGCCCGATTCGAAATCCCACACTTTGATGGTTGCGTCTTCGCTGGCCGATACCATCACGCTAAAAAGCGGGTGGAAAATTACTCGTGTCACGGGGGCTCGGTGACCTGCAATTAACAAATTAAGTTAAAAAGATTCATAAAGGAAATTAAAAATCTTTTAATTTGATATCCAACAACCTATATTTTGAGTAAAGGTTATATTTTAACCTCTAAATGTGACATTTAATAATATTAAATATCAAAAATTTGTTCAGAATCATAAAGAAAATTGAAAATCCTTCAATTTGATACCCAACAACCTAGGTATATCAATTTAAGAATTTTTTGATTACAACCGCCAGTTTGTTTTTCAATTATTTTTTATCGATCAAAAAATATCAAAATCGAAGAATGTATCAAAAATCCTTTAATTTGATACCCAACAACCTATATTTTGAGTAAAAAATCAAAATATTACCTAAAAATGTGACATTAATAATAATATTAAATATCAAAAATTTGTTCAGAATCGTAAAGAAAATTGAAAATCCTTTAATTTGATACCCAACAACCCATATCAATTTCGATTTTTTTTTATTACAATCGTCATTTTGTTTTTCAATTATTTTTTATCGATCAAAAAATATCAAAATCGGAAAATATATCAAAAATCCTTTAATTTGATATCCAACAACCTATATTTTCAGTAAAATAATACAACATAACCTAAAAAATGTGTCAATTAATAGCCGCCATCTTTAATTTTAATTTTTTTCTTTTAATTTTATATATCTTTTGGTAGAATTAAGGTAAAACCATGGTGTTTGGACTTAAATAACTCAATCTTTAATTTTGAACCGAGTACAAATAAATTTTGTAAATTCTAATTAATTTTTTGAAAAATTAAAGAATTAATTTTAAAAGATAACTTGAAAATTTGTTGAGAATCATAAAGAAAATTGAAAATCCTTTAATTTGATACCCAACAACCTATATTTTCAGTAAAATAATAGAACATAACCTTAAAAAATGATAACATAATGGCCGCCATCTTTAGTTTTTTAAATTTTGTATATCTTTGAAAGTAATTGAGATAAAACCATCATGTTTGGACTTAAATAACTCGATTTTTAATTTTAAATCGATTAAAAATGATTTTGATTAATTTTATTTGTTTTTTTTTTTTTTAATTAAAGTATTAATTTTAAATAAAAATTAAAAAATAAAATAAGGATCATTACGGAAATCGAAAATCCTTTAATTTGACACCCAACAACCTATATAAATTTCGAAAAATTTTCATTGAAGCCGCCATTTTGTTTTTAATTATTTTATTTTTCGAAAGTAAAAAAATCGTATCATAGAAGGCATACATAGAAGGAACATAGAAGGCAACAACCTATATTTCGAGTAAAATTATAGAACATAACCTTAAAAAATAATGACATAATAGCCGCCATCTTTTTTTTTTTTTTTTTTCATTTTTATCATCTTAGGAAGTAATTGACACAAACTCGTCGTGTTTGGACTTAAATAACTCTATTTTTAATTTTAAATCAATTAAAAATGTTTTTTGTTAATTTTATTAAATTTTTTGAAAAATTAAAAAGTGATTAAAAATCCTTTAATTTGATACCCAACACTCAATATGTACAAAAAAAAGATAAACAATAACCTTTAAAAAAAAATGACATTATAGCCGCCATCTTTATTTTTTTAATTATGTTTATCTTTGGGTGTAATTAAGATAAACCCATCGTGTTTGGACTCTAATAACTCGATTTTTAATTCTAAATCGATTAAAAAGAAAAAAATCGCTTCAAGTTTTAATTTTAAATTTAAAAAAAAATTTAATCGTTACCGCTTAGTGAGAACTTTTCGGGCGGTCTTGGAATCCATTCAGACGGGCATCGTTTCCCTCTAGTCGGGGCTCCTTCGATATATTCTTTCTCGGCCTCGCTCAATTTCGTTTCGAGTTCCATCACTTTCTTTTGAAGGCGAATGACCGCCGTCCATTTCTTTTCGAGAAGACCGCCAAACTTTCGATCGACTTCTCCGGGCATATCCGCCTCCTTTTTAAACGCCTGCAAGGCATCTTTGTAGCCATTGCTATTCAAATAGTCAGCGATCGCCTTATTACTGTAAAAAATAAAATTTTATAATCAAGTTTATTTTTAACAATTAGATAATAACCATCAATTATATAGATATAAACCAAAATTTAGATAAGATTGTTGGTTCAAATTTTATTTTATTGCCAAAGAGAGAAAGGAAACTCCAAAATCCAATCGAAGTATGTCATCGAAAATATGACTAACAAATAAATTACGTAATATCTTTGAATAAACTTAAAAGAAAAGTATTTTAAACCGTTTAATAATAATTAATTTTTAAGTTTACCGAAGCATAACGAAGATTGAGAATTGTTCGCTTAAATGCACTTTTTAAACGATTATGACTCTATTCACAATATGAGTCATCACCCGTTTTATTTCAACAACAAAAAATTGTATCATTTTAAGGTGCTCATATTGTTATCTGTCATTAACTTTAGTAATTATCAAGCATAAACTTTAAAATATACACCATGAAAAGTCCTTCAAACAACCGTATTGAGTGCCTATTTATGATTATTTCGCATTCTATTTCAAACCAAGCCATTTAAAGATTAATTAATCCTCATAATTAGCAACAATACATTAAAACATAATGAGATTTAATCCTTTACCTTCAATTTAAGACACAAACAGTTTCTTAACCTACTAAAAATAACCTCGATACGACTTATTCAATTTTATTTTTTCTCGTTTTGTGATAACCTCAGAGAAATCAATTCAAATTAAAAACACTTTGAACTAAGGCAACAACTGTCTAAGAATAATTTAAAATTTTAATTAAAACGCGTAAAAGATTAAATTGTGTCAGGCGAGAAATAAATTTCATTTAATTTCCTAAAAGCGATTAAATCGAGGTGATCACCTCCGAAACAGTTTCAACGATGACCTACCTTCCATAACCAGAATGAATTCTTTTACTTTATAAAACAAGACCGGGTTAAAATTCCCAGAAGAAACTTGAAAGGTCATTTTACCGGATTAAGTACAGCTAGATAACGATTTAAATGAACCACACAACGCTTTTATAATAATTTATTTATACACTTCTTAATTAATCCGTTAGTTTCATCCAAAAATATCCACATTCTTTGCGCTGTTAGTATTTATAGAAAGGACCCCGTTGAAATTCTCGGGGGATAAATCGTGATTTACTCAAAATCACCAAAACATATTTTAAAGTATTTGCTTTGGCGTCGCGACGTCCCCTTGGCATTGGCGTCGCTTGTGACGTCACAACGCCCCAAAAATCAATACAGGAAATGCAACTCAACTGGCACTCACAAAAAATAAACACTCAAATTAATTTTCTTTCGAATTACCTTCTCCACCTTCTCTTTATACGGTTAAAAAAATTAATAATAAAGCACGATTTAGCACATCACGATCGGAATAGAAACACAATTACTTTCTCTTTCACAACACAACAACGCCGAGAACAAGACTCCGACCGCTACAAATACCGGAATTCCTAGAAAACGGTTTTTAACACAATCCTCGAGATACACCAATAAGAGAAACTGTACTTTAACCGTAAATCTTGCGAGAATTAAACGTTTAAAAAACATTTTTAAACAATTCAAAAAAAAATAACCTAAAAATCATAAACGTCAAAATTAAATGTCAAAGAATACAATTAAAATAGAATACAATAAAAACGTTGGTAATTCTGATTTTTGACATTTCCGTAAATGAAAGAAAGAAAAAAAAAATGTCAAACGTCAAAAACATTTTGTACTTACAGCTCTTCTCGCTGCCGTTGGGACAAAACCATTTTCATGTTAGAGTTCCTTAAGCAAGAGAAAATCCTACAAAGGATATTGCATTACCTAAACAGAGAAATGAGAGTAATATTGCGCTTAAAACGAAACAAAAAAAACAAATTAAAAACCCCAACTCTGGGGGAAAAAATCAATATCAGCCATTTTGGTTCGGAATTAAAGAAACCGGTTGGAATTAATTTTTGAACGTTCGTTGCGGTTTGTAATGTTGCAAGTAACATTCGGGGGTACTTACAGTTAAACAGGAAACGTATTGCGGGTAAAAATCCTCTTCGTACACGATTAAAACACTGAAAATCAACACGAACGATACACACCTCTCGACGACACTCTAATAACTGATTATCACTAGTGCAATACCAACTGTTATACTTGATTTCCCCCCCACCCAAAAATCAAGAATTTATTTATTGATTTTCGCTTTTATTAAATAAAATTTATAATCATTAAAATTAATCATAATATTTTCGTAATCAACGCAAATCCTTTAATACATTCATTAATAATTAAAAAGAAACAACATAAAAATTTAATTCGTAATTTAATACCAACATTAAAATCAAACAAAAAAGATATTTTTATAAAACAAAATTAATTAAATTTAATCAAAATTAATCGCAAATAATTAATTAAATTGAATTCAACATTATTAACTTTACTTTTATCTTTTAAAATAATTTAATTTTTTAATAAATAATTCAAATAAATCCGAGGAAATAATTGAGGTTATGTTAAAACGTCAAAATTAAATATTTATTTCAAAATTGATTAAAACCATGTTACTTCTTTGGATAATCTTTTTAAATTTCTATTTAAGTATTCACTCCGAAGAGTACATCGAAAATTATCTCGGTACGAAATCTGCTTATCGATACGTTGCGAATCTAAATAATTTCGAAAACCACGATCAAGAAGGATGTGCGACTAAAATTTGGATGTTTGTAAGACATGGAACGCGATATCCTGGAATTTCGGATATTAAAGTAATGCGAGAGCATCTTCCTAAGTTGCAAGATGAAATTATACGTGTTAATGAAGATGAATCATTAAAAATTGATCATCGGTTATCAAAATCCGATTTGTTATTGTTTAAAAAGTGGTATCCTCGCGTGGAGGAGTACGAGGCGAAAATGTTAACTGTTGAGGGTGAAAAGGAGATGGTTGAGTTAGCCGAGAGGATGCAATGGAGGTTTCCAAACTTGTTAAAACCTTTTTATAGCAACACATCTTATGTGTTTAAACACACTAAAACTCAAAGAACTAAAGAAAGTGGGAAATATTTTGCAACTGGTTTGTTTGGGAAGAGTGTTCATGGAGGTGGTTATTATCCGATAGCTGTAAAAAGGAATTCTATATTAAGGGTAATTTATTTATGGTTTTATTTGAATTAAATTTTCATTAAAAAATTAGTTTTATAAGTTATGTAAAAAGTGGATTATTTCTGTGAAAAAAAATGCTCAAACTTACAGTGAAAGAAATAATTTTTATGATACGGAAATTATGAGGGAAGCTTTGGATAAAGTATCGAGTAAACTTGGATTAGATAAATTAACTGTATGTAAGTAAATTATGATTATTATAAATAAAAATATATTAATTTCTTTTTTTTTACAGCCGATTTACACTCAATGTACGTAACCTGTGCTTTTGAAAGCTCTTGGAGTAATCGTAGAAGATCTCCATGGTGTATTCCTTTTGATATAGAAACAATAAAAGTTTTAGAATATGCTGAAGATTTAAAATATTATTGGGTGGATGGATACGGATATGATTTAACATGTAATCAAGCATGTCCCGCTTTTAATGATATGTTTAATTTTATTAACAGGTAAATAACTCCATAAGAAATTTTCAATTAATAATTATTAATGTTTTAGTGAAGAAAAATACCCAAATGCTTTATTTTATTTCACTCACTCAGGTTCATTACTAAAAATGTTATGCCATTTGGGGATTTATCGCGATCATAATCAGTTATTGGCGAATAATTTTGAAGAGAACAAGAACCGGCAATGGAAAGTTAGCAAAATTGATCCATTTGGAAATAATTTAGCTTTTATACTTTATACGTAACTTATTCTTTATCTAATTTAAGTCAAATTTTTATTTCGATTAATTTTAGATGTAATGGGACCAAAAAAGTTTTAACAATGCATAATGAGAATATCATTCGGCTTCCGGCTTGTCCAAAAAGTGATTTTTGCGATGTAAAAACGATTGAAGATTATTATAAAAATAGTTTAACGTGTGGTTTCGATGAAATGTGCGAAAATAACTTAATTAATATTACATCTAGTTAATGTAATAAATTAATATGTCAAAAAGAATGTCGGTAAAAAAGATTTCTGTAATATATTAAAATATTTTTAATTTTCTCAAAAGTAATGAGGTGATTAATCGTTTTTATATTGAACATAATTAAGATTTAATTTTGATAAATTAATAAAATTATAATTGAAATAATAGTATATTAATTATTAATTTTTTAGCGAAGAAAAATACCCAAATGCTTTATTTCATTTCACTCACTCAGGTTCATTGCTAAAAATGTTATGCCATTTGGGGATTTATCAAGATTATAATCAGTTATTGGCGAATAATTTTGAAGAGAACAAGAATCGTCATTGGAAAGTTAGCAAAATTGATCCGTTTGGAAATAATTAAAAATATTTGTCAAAAATATCGGTAAAAAAGATTTCTGTAATATACTAAAATCTTTTTTTATTGTGTTTATATTATTTTATTTCTATTTTAGTTTTAACCGGTTTCGGTATCAATTACCATCCTCAGAAAACACCTAAATATTAAAAGTTTACAATAACTTAAGCCAGAATTCTTCATTCAATTATTAAAATTAGACGAACACGTTACACGGCGATACAACCACAAATACTTAGAAATAACTTTCTAAGCTTGTTTATTATTAAGAGGAAAGAGAGAAGGGTAAAGTGAAGGAGAATAAAGATGAGAATAACAACTAAGGAGCCTAAAATGTTATAATATTTAAACACCATACAAGAAATTGTTAATCATCCTCGTTCTTTCTGTGCTACAGGTGCCTTATATAATTTCTTAGTTTCCATAAATCTAATTAATTAATTAATTCTTTGGAGATTAATTAAAAGCTTTTAAATGTTGTAATAAAACCCAAAATTTAATGCTGCTTAATTTAATGATTTAATGTTTCAAATAATAAATAAACACGAATAAAGATAATGGATAACAATGATAATAAAATGGTTCAAAATTCAAGGAGCAGTCATATTACTTATGCCCCATTTACACGTTTTGTACCCCTCCGGGCTGTAATCCCAATCGATTCTGCGTTGTTTTATGATATTCGTGTACACCATTGAAGATAATCTCGGCGATCTAGTTCTTTCCATAGAATTAAAGTCGACGCTATAAAGACCAAACTTTTCACTGAAATAATAAAGGTTAACTTAGTAAGGAATTAGATTATAAAACATAATTTCTTACGTATATCCTTGATACCATTGGAAATTGTCCAAAAAACTCCAAACTGTATAAGCAGAAACATTGCACTTATCTTTGTGTATAGCTGCGAGAATGTTTTCCAAGTAAGACTAAAAAAAATAATGAAAAACTTTCCTTTTTAAAGAAATTAACTCACATTAATATAATGGACTCTGCGACAATCATTTTCATCCTCAACATCGGAGAATCCATTCGCTGTTATAAGAACTTCCGGGTTGTCGTATTCTTTTTTGATCCAATTCAATAATCTTCTTAATCCCCAGGGGACAACTTTAAGCCATGAAGAAGTTCCGTTCTCCCAAGACTCGTTTTGGACGCAAAAATCAAGTGCGAACAAAGGAGTTCCTTCAGCACTCATTTTTGGAAGGCTAACGTCACAAATTTTTGTGGTATAATGACTCAGTCCGAAGAAATCAGCGCTTCCTCGTAAAAGCTCAACATCTGCAGATTCAAATTCTGGTACTTTAAACGTAGACGTTTGTATTTGTCGACTGAAGTAATCTAATTGTTCAGATGCCATTTTTGGATAATCCCCAATTCTTGAAAAAATCGGATTGGCAAACCATCCAAGCTATAATAAATAATTAATGGTTCAAATAACATTTAATGTTTTCAAAATTACCTCAAGCTCCATCGCTAATTCACTTAAATCTTTATCGGCTTCGCCTCGAATACCAGGTTCATTCCACGCGGATCCAAACGAAATACCAACTCGTCCATGTTGTCTTTCTCTATAATTAAAGTTGTATAATCGGTAAACTCTTGCGTGAGATTTCAAAATGGCGTGAGCACAAAGATAACCGACGTTTCCTTCCTCTTTCAGACCATCGGCAAACGAAGCTTGATCGAAATAAGGGTCAAAACAAAATTTACCAGGATCATCAAACGTAATCCAATCTCTAACTCTGTTTCCATAAATAGAAAATAAAAGATTTGCGTACTCTTCAAACGCAACGATTAATTTTTCATTCATCCATCCGCCTTTTTCTTGTAATAGTTGAGGTAAGTCCCAGTGAAACATTGTGGCGATTGGTTTAATACCATTCGCAATTAATTCGTCAATGAGTTCATTGTAATATCTAACACCATCTGTATTGACCTTGTTAGTGTATCCATTGGGGAGGATTCGAGGCCAAGATATCGAGAATTTGTAGAAATCGACGTCCATTTCTTTTAAAAGTTGTACGTCCTCAAGGACCTTGTGGTAAGAATCGCATGAAACGTCAGCGTTGGATCGGTCTTTTATTTTCTTGGGTTTTCCGTGCGTCAATCTATCCCAGATACTTTCGCCCTTTCCTCCCTCATTCCAAGCTCCTTCGACTTGATAAGCTGAAGTTGCAACGCCGAATTTAAATTCGTTGGGAAATGTGTCTTCACTTGAAACACAAGTACTAAAACAAATATATCAGAAAAAAATAAGATAGTTGCAAAAAAAGAAAAGTACTCACCTCAGAAGTAAAATACAATTGATTATTCTAAGTTTAATTTTCAAATACATCGTTGAGACTTGAAGCTAGAACCACTTCTGAGTGGAAACGACGATTTCTGCGGTATTTATACGATTTTTGGTGGAAGAATTTTGCTTACGAACACTTTTTATCAACTCATGAATCTTTTTTGGTATTTTAGGGTGTATGGCATTTCCTTTGGTATTTTTTTGACTAATATTGGAGTGTGATAAAAGCTATCGCCAAATTGTTTTCCAATAAAAGAATTTCCGGCGATTAAAAGTGTAATTTTGGAAACAATTTTTATGAGTAATATCGAAAAAAATCACTTCTACCTTATTTTAACGAGTTTAGAAATGATTTATATCTTAAATTAAAGCTAAAAAGATGAAAATTGCAACATCGTAAATTTTATCAAAATTTCAAATATTGTTTTCTCAAAAACTAAAAGTTATTTTTCAAAACGTGTTGGTTCATTGGAAAGAACACACTTTTATTAACACTTTGGAAAATTTTCATATTCATATTCCAAAAACTTAATTTTATACGAATTTTTAAAACTTAATCGGCGAAAATTACAAAATTCGAAAAAATTGTCGTTCGTTTCAAAAACTTATTTCTCAAGAACTGAAAGTGATTTTTCAAAACGGCTTTTTGCATTAAAAAGAGGATACTTTAATTAATAATTGGTGATATTTCCACAAGGATCTTTCAAGAAATGAATTTTATAGCGAATTTTGAAAGTTATCGATAAAAATTACAACATCGAAAATTTGATCAAAACTTCAAATATTGTTTTCTCAAAAACTAAAATATATATTAGATTTACATGATATATAATATACATAATAATATAAAAATATTATATTTTTTCACGATTCCTTTAATTTATATAATTTTTTTAAACAACCTCTTAATGTTGAAACTTAATGGGCTATTTTTTTGTTGATGTTTTTTTCGAAAATCTGGTTAAATTCGCCGATTAAAAGATAGTTATTCGTCGATTAGATTATGAATAGTTTAGAATTAATCATCGATGTCGATTTAAATCAAATATTAACAAATTATAATAAAAACAATCTTATCAAACTACTTCTCTAAAATCACCCCATTCAAATAATGCAATAACAAAAACACTTACAAAATACTAACAATAAGTGTATTATCACACCCATATCTAAATTATTGATAAATATTAATAACATTTTAAGTAATCAGTTCCGATAAATTATTTCACGGTCACATGTGTCGAAAATTGGTTAATTTTTAAGTTTTTAAGCCCATGGCAATGAAAAGTGGAGGACGTCTCGGTTACTTTCGAATAAAAAGCAAGTTCAAGCAAACGTAAGTAGACTTTACTTAGTTAAAATCGAGTGAAAGTGGCGTCGAAACGCATTCGCAGTCACAACTTGTCCAATCTTATCGAACAATTGGATTAAGTGCGTTATACAACATAGATTTTTATTAATAAATCTAAATCAACGTCGATTATTGATATAGATGTCCAGACATAAACAAGGCGTCCACGTTTTTGGAGGCATCACGTGAGAATAAGAAATGTTTGTGAAACCATCAAAGTAAGTTATTTATTTGTTTTTTTCTTGTCAAAATTGTCAATGTTTTGAAATTAAAAATTCCCAGTAAACATCAAATAATTTTTCGCGTAAAAAATGTCTGTGTTTAACCTGTACATGACATCGTTGCAAAAAAATTTTTACAGGATGAGTAAAGTGGATGAAGATAACAAATACGTCGTGTTGCTTTTGGGCTTCGTTGCGGCATCTTTAAGTCCGTTTTTGTTGGTGTGGTACGCATTGCATTGCACCACTTACGTCGTAAGCAAGATTTTAATACCAGTTTTTGGATTGGCCATAGTATTCCTCGTCGGTTTTCCACTTCTTTGCACGATGAAGTGGATTTACGCAACCTACGCGTTCATCTATAATATGGTTATTAATTTTATTTTAGCCATCGTTCAATGGATGGAAGAAAATAAAACTAATTCACCTATTTCGACGGAAACGAGAAGAATTTATGCTTCTTCTAACGATTTTGATTTTAAATAATGATTATTTATATTAATTAATCATTTATTAAGTTTTACATCCTTTAATAAACTTTTAATTATTTTATGTTAAGGATTTTTTTATTGTTTTTAATGAAATTAAAATAAAAACTTAAAAAAACTTAAAGTGTTCCACTATTGCTGAATATTACAGTTAACTAAGTATAACCTTTGTTTATAGAGAATACTCTATAAACAATGGTATAACTTAGTCATACTATTATTATTAATCATAATAACTTTTAATTGTTTACTAAATATCCGATACTTTCCATTAGCATGAAGAATGTTTAAATTCTTTTATGTAGGTTATATTAATATAAGAAATTTAAAGTATCGTATCTCGATGACCGATTGAGATATCACGATAAAATAAGAAGCAATTTAAAGGAAATTTAATCGAGTTTTAGTGTACCAAAAATTATTTTTTAGTTTCCATATACATAGCTGCAATGATTTTTTTAACCAAAATCCGAAAATATTTGATTGAGGTTATTTTCAAAATTAAAGAAATCGTATCTCAAAGACCGATTGAGATATCACGATGAAATAATATGCGATTTAAAGGAAATTTAATCTAGTCTTAGTGTTCTAAAAACTATTTCTTAGTTTCCATAAATATAGCTGCAATAATTTTTTTATCCAAACTCCGCAAATATTTGATGTTGAGTTTATACTCAAAATTAAAAAAATCGTATCTCAAAGACCGATTGAGATATCACGATGAAATAAGAAGCGATTTAAAGGAAATTTAGTGTAATTTTAATGTAATAAAAACTATTTCTTAGTTTCCATTAATATAGTTGCAATGATTGTTTTAACCAAACTCCGCAAATATTTGATGTTGAGTTTATATTCAAAATTAAAAAAATCGTATCTCAAAAACCGATTGGGATATCACCATGAAATAAGAAGCGTTCTAAAGGAAATTTAATCTAGTTTTAATGTAGAAAAAATTACTTAATTTTAATTAAACCAAAAAGAAAATTAATCTGATGGTGGTATATGCAACCAAACTTACTTTTAATCGGTTAAGTCTAACTTGCGGATATAAACTTTTGTTCAATTTTAGAAATTTGTTGCAATAATATTTCACAATCATATTAAATAAAAATAAATTTCAAACTTATTTATAAATTTATATAGAAATTCAATATTTTTTTAAATTTCTAAATGTCAGTTTTAAATTACGTCAAATTAGTAACCATAAAATCGAAACAATTAAAAATAACTTTACAAAAGTCAAATTAAACAAATAAAATTAAGCTTTTTAATTGATTTAAATCTATAATTATAAATAATTGATTCGTTTGAGTGTCCCTGGTATTTTTTAAAGATATGAAGTTATCGCGCATGCGCATTGCGCGTTTTCAGTTCAGTGACAGGATGGAGAAGTGATTCGACGGTGTATTTCTGTGTATATTTTCGACTTTCCGCGCTAATTACCCCGGTTTTTTCATCCCGTTTCGTCTCAACTATGTTAAAAGAAAAGCAACTTTACAATATGGGAACAACTGGACACACCATCGATACGTTCAACACTTCCGGTAAGTTTTTAACAACCCTCCAAATCATTTCCTGTGTTATTGTTTACATCTACACTTTTCTAACCAACACAAAGAATTAAGTGGGTAATCAACCCCTCTTTTACGACAAAACCCCTTCAAAATTGAATTTGCATTATTAAAAAATTAATTAATATTGTTGAAGTAAATTGTTGACATAAATGACAGTTGTGGGCGGTTGATTTTAACTTATTTTTTGTTTTAGAACTTACCCCGGAACAACAAAAACAGTTAATTGAGATTCGTAGAAGGAAAACGGAACTGCTATTGGAGATTCAGGTAGGTTAAATTACCGTAATAACCCGTATTTGGAGATTTTTCTTGGAAATGTCAAAACGCCATGTCAATTAATTACAGGGTTCTGTAATTTTTTTGATTTATTTGTTTTTATAATGATTTTTTTAATTTTGATTTATTTAACAACAATTAAAATTAAATTTGATTTTATTTAAATTAATAATTAAATCAAAATTAATTTTTATTAAAAAAAAAGAATAATATTTTATGTGTATGCAACCGAATCAACTTAACGTGTCAGTTGGTTGCCTAACTTCATTTTTATTATTTCAATTATGGTGGAGGTGCCAATTAATTATTTATTTTATTACATTAATAACGATATCGAGATGATTTAAATCAATTCTTTTTAATAATTAAAAAGGCCACGTTACTTTAGAAATAATCGTCCTTGTTTGTACGTCGTAATCAACAAGGTGTGTCTTTTTACCTTCATCGAGCGTCATTTTATCGCTATTCTCGTTCGTATAATGTCGATTATCGCGTTTCCCGTGAATAAACACAGACACATACACACGAACGGCGCCACGTTGTGCACAAAAAGCGATACTAATGGAAGTGGAGTCCATTAAAAAGATTGAGGGTGTTTCGCTTTTATTTCCGGCAATAAAAATACAATATTCAAAAAGGGGAAGTACAAATTCCTTTCGAATTGAGTAATTTAAGGTTGTAGTATCGATGTTTTACTTGGACGCATAGGTACGATGACCTCGCGTGGTTTTGCTCTTCGTTTTTGGTCGTCGAAGTTGGCGTCCAGACGTAGCAAAAAAAAGTAAAAATAAATCGCAAGGTTTTGTTTTAATCCCTACGTATGACGTCATATCCGGTTTTAAGCCGTGCGAAAGAAGGGCTGCAGGATGTCGCAAGACTTCGCTATTACAATTAAACCAATAAATAGTAATAAATAAATGACGTTGTAGAGAATTGAATGGAAATTGAACGAGATGGTCGGTCTTTTCTTTAATAAGTAGTAAAAATTGAATAAAAAAGTGAATAAATAAGTTGCATTTCTGGCATATTTGGCACCGAGCTCTTGGTTCCTTAAAATAAACTCACGTACTAAATAGTCGCTTATCAAGGAACAAGTGCGCTGGTTTACTGTTAAAAACGGATTTGAATCGATCGGTTTTGCACGAGTTTCGAGGTCATTAAATTTAAATAAATATTTGTGTTCGACTATCGAACAAGTTTCAATAAACATCTTTTAAATTCGAACTCCATCCATCAAAGTTCAATTTTATATTTTCAATTTTGCTAAGTGGTATTGCTTTTTATCTCAATTTTGCTAATAATATTTAAAAGTCAATCACACAGCACATCTAAATGGTAGGCACTTGAATTCTCATCTTTTTAGAGAGAGGCGTCCTAAAGAATTTAGATATATTAAGGTTGTTGCAGACGTAAACAGCTACTAAAATCGCTAATAGATGAGATAATCTTTAAAAAAATATCAGCGAATAACAACTTTTAGATTGCCGTTATCGTTGATATCTCAACTTTATCCCTGGTGTTTCTTAACATCATCTTTGATACCCTCCAAAATGATTTATTGGATCTTTCTACATGTTGTCACCTCCTAACATCGTCCTGATCTCGTTTAACATCTACATCATCTATTAGTACTCTCGTGTTGTCTCATATTTTTGTGAAACATTTCTTTTTCACTACAATATGCATTCTGTAAGAATTCCAGAGTTGGGTTTTATCCGTAAGCATTATTAACCATTATTTTATATCTCAGCTTACATTACGTTCATGTATTCTGCTAATTTGGCCAAAATTATCAGTACATTAATTAATTTTGACTTTTATCAAGACTAAACTGTAGAATGACTTCGTTAATAATCTTACACGCTTATTGCGCTCGGTACAAGGTCACAAAAAGAATTTCTTTTCCTCACCTGTCCTTAAGACACGCGGATGCGGGCACAGGTGCATCTTTAAGCGCGAGATTCAACTTCAAAAGGTTATCGTTTAAAATTAACAAAAAAAAACTTGATTTTATTTTAAAGAGAAAGAAAGGAAGGAAAAGAAAACGTTACGGATAAGCAAGGAGTGTTACCGAGCGATAATAAAAATAAAATCGAGTTTACAGGATGTCCTTTTTTGATAAAGTTGTGTTTTATGTTCGCGGTCTTTGTGTTAAACAAATTTAATTTTTTAGGTTTGGCATTTACAAATAATTTTCATTCATCTATATTTCAAAATACAATTTATTTTTCTTTTATTTTAATTTTTAAGAGTAGAACTAGAAAGTTTTCTGCATTCTTTATTTTTAACACTTTTGTCGCAGGTCAGTTTTTGGGACATGTGTTTCTTTTCAAGAAAGATTTAACGATTTTTAAATGCCTCCGAAATTGACTTGGAAGGCGTCCTTTAAAAGCTTTCAAAACAAATCTGGTTTCGATTTAATATTTAACAAAAACCGTTTTTTACCCTTTCACCTTTTCGAATTAGTCGCGTGCTTGACGTCACAAAACGTGATACATAAAAAAAACCGTTTGATAATAAACGCGTAGATTTTACTAAAAAAATAAACATGTTTATCGCCTTTATAACGTCGATAATAACTTGTGTAAATAGTTTTTAACACAAAAAAAAATTTAATTAATCAGCTTCAACGTGTAATACTTGTTTTTCTTCACTAACATCTTCTTCGCCCGATGTTTCTTCATCACCGTCTTCTTCGTCATCGATATTATCGATATCATCGTAAGCATCCAAAGGGATATCATTGCTAATGTTTTCTTGTTCGTCGTTCGAGTCATCTTCGTCGCGCCATTTATTAAAATCGACTTTGAGCCAATGATGCTTTTGCTTATCTTGGGTTAAATAAGGCCAATAAGGTTCTTCGTGATTCTTTTTCATCAAAATCATCTCAACGCAACGTTCCCTATTGATGGTTTTGCAATTTTCCGGGTCGATTTTATTGAATAAAACTATTCGAGCCTCGTAGTTGCGGTCGTTGTGTTTCGTGGAACCTTTAAAATGGACCGAATCTTCTTGATACGTCACGATCGGGTCGATTATATCCTCTAAAATCACCGTTAAGTAAACCAAATCGGATCTTTGAGCCCAAATCATCGGCGGCGGATTCAATTCACCATCAGCCATCGTTTTAATTAACTTTTTTTGATATTTTTGAAGGTTTTTTATTTTATATTTGTCAATAAAATTTGACAAGATTTGATTTGACAGTTAGAAAAAGTTAAAAAGTTGTCTTGTTGTTTTAATTAATTTCTGAGAGAGGGTTAAAGTTCACGAGACGGGTTTAATTAAGCTTAATTACGGTGGGATACCTTTCAAATCTTTTCATGTGAAGCCATTAGATTAATAAAATCGTGTTGTGCGTAAAATGGGATGTATAAAATAGGAAAGCCGAAAATAGATTGAAAATGATAAATCTTTAAATGTTTGATGTTCATTTTGATCTTGAATAGGTTTGGAATAAGTCCAAAATTGTTAATTTTTTTTGCTTCGACCGTTTCGCATTCGAAATGCTAAGTCTTTAAAGTCTATTTTTGGATGAAATGGAGTTTTTGGATTTGTTCCAAAATTATTTAATTTTTAAATCAATATTAATTCACGTTCGAATTTATAAGAAGAATTCTTTCTTTAAAACTACTGTTCTTTGATCTACTCTACTTTTACTTACATTTTTGATACCTGAAGATCATAAGTTATCTACCAAGATTACAATTACAATTAAAAAGTGTAATAAAAAATGTAGCATTCCATTTAAAATAACGAAGTTATGGTCTACTTCCGGTAGACCGGAAGTGGCAGCCATCTTGAAAATACCACCAAAATTTCAACTGTATGTACAAATAGTGGACCCTAAAAAAGTCCTAATGAATCAGTTACGTGAGACACCCTGTATACACTGTGTACATAAAGTATGATATCAATTCGATAAAAATTTGAGGAGTATTCTTCCAGAAAATATTCTTGAATATCTATGTTATATTTTTTAAAGCGCATTTTTTGAGATAAACTTGAAATGTCCAGGTGTCCCAAAATTGAGATACCATATGTTGACATTTTAAAATAATTTTTTTATTTGCAATAATAAAAATTATTTCTTTCTTCATCATTTTCAAAGCAGAGAAGGGTTATAAGTTCTTCAGAAAAATCTGTATTATTCCTTGATTTCTTGCTATGAAATGATGTTATAATTGGGTCTGAAGATATTAATAGTCTGTTTAAAATGTCACTGTTATTGTGTATTCTAGACATTTTTCTGGAAAAGTTCTCTCTATACCTTCTAAGGTCTTTATTCCGAGTTCCTTGCGCATCTTCTGAAAGCAGGCCATTCTGGATACTTAATGATTTTATTATTAAGTGGCCATGCACAAGAATTTTATGCACTACCACAGGCATATAATACCAATTATATAATTGATTGTATGATAGTCTTGTGTCGTTTGCAAAATTTTTAAATGCAGCAGTGTTCATTTCTTGATAATAATTTTGATGACACGTCATTGATTTTTTTTTATTACTGTGTGTTGGATAGGTATTTTTTAACTAAAAAATTACTTCGAATTTGTTTGGGAAGAAGGTTACAACATGATATCTTAATCGTGACTCTTTTTTAAAGACTTTTTAAGCCCGAAAGCTTCTAGTTCTAGATCTAATAATAGAGGTAGTACTAATATTAATTCATAAAAAATAGTTATTCTAAAAAGTTGTAAACGATTGATGGTTTCAAAACTAACTTTCAGTATTCACTATCGAATATCCGTAGACACCACTCTGTATATTAGCCATTTTTTTGAAAATTTTGCGCAATTTATTTTTTTGAGAACGGAAAATATAGACTTGAAACTACATAAAAAACAAATTTCAACCTGGGATCTTGTGGGACTATTTTTGTAGCTTAAATTAAAGTTTAACATTGCAAATAAAATCTGTTTATGAACAGTGTTGAGAAAAAGATAAATAAATCCAGCATTCAAGAAGCTATTACAGTGTTACATAAACACAAATTTCATAAGGGTACAACTTTTAATATGTTTACAATCGTTTCTCAATATTAATCAAATGTTTTTGGAAATTGATATGCAAAATAAGTGTTAACTTTACATGTCATTTTTATCCAGAGTTGAAGTTAATAAAAAGTGGTTATTGCGGAGTAATTAGTTCTTAGACGTATGATGCAAATCGGACTTGAAATCGTATAACGTGATTGTCGCTTAACTTTATCCTTTAAAACAAATGGTATTTTAGGTTTTTCGGTATTCTGCATTTTTTCTAAGATAAGTTACACCTTTACTTACCAGACGGCATGAAAATCTCTAAAAACGATAAAAAGTCGCTTAGTCAAGTGATTATCAATTATTACCACAATTTAATAATAAGGGCTTATAATGCTACAAATTACTTATTAAACTTATTGGTTTATTGTATAATAATTCCGTGATTTTCTCTGGGTGCCCACATCGAGTTATTTTTTGGTTCTCAAGTTCATTCTTCGTACATACTACAACAGTAGGTAGTTTTCTTTTTGTTGTTCTTTCTGTTTTTATTACGACCGTGCTGGG